CTCACAGCTATATACTGACAACACGTAACCACCACTCTCTGTCCATCCTCACACCTAACAGTACGATACCGTTCCGCATATCTGTAATCAGAACTTCGGGCGCGTTGTTTCAATGTGGCGAAGACATCATACCTCCGGCTACGTGCCGCACTACTCTAACCAGGAACTATTTGGAGTCGTACTGTAGTGCATGATGCAAAAAAGCACGTCTTGGTTGTCTCAATCGTTATGATACAACAATTATGTTCGAGTGAGACTTCATGACGAGTGTATGTACTGCATGATACCTATGTGGGAAGAATGTGGAGGGATTTGCGAGAAAGACGTTTTGGTCCTTGAAACATGTCAGGTTACCGCTGCCAACAAGCAGGGCCACCCCCCCCCCCGCGAAAATCATTTACCTAGGGCAAGCCTGGTACGAGCACTTTTCAAGTCCCAATCTCTTGAATTAGGGTCATATACCTAAAGCTTGTCTTAAAATGGCAATCTTTCAACCGCGCCTCAGTCTCTCTTCCTCCCTCAAACTTCACAGCTCGAACGACTTGAATCTCCAATCCAAGCTATCATAATAAAATTCACTTGGAAGTCCTCTTTCTTTTTTCCACAGCCGCTACTTTACACTTTGGGACTTCTATCATACTACACCCAGCAAAAAAAAAAAAAAAACATAATTCCCCCCTCAAGTAAACAATCCACTTTCCAAAAACATGTCCACCGAAAAAACTCAGATAGCAGGCTACAAACACCGAGTCCTCGAATCTGTGTTGACAAGGGCCTACAACACCGCGGCCTCCTACCGCCGCCGCATCAACGAGACCTCCGCCTCCCTCGTGTGCAAGCTCAACGCGGTCAGGACCCACAACCAGTGGGAGGAAAATCACGGAGTAGGCAGGAGCACCATGCTGGACTATATCCTCTGCATCGGGGACTGCGCGAACGAGCTTCTAAAGTTGGACACGACTCATCACTCTAAGGAGTCGAGAGCGCTACAAGCCAAGGGGGAGAGTTTGATGCAGGGCCCGCTCCGGTTCATCTCTGAGGGACTCGACGGTGGGGTTCTGGGCTTTCGGGATTGGGAGGACGATACCCTGAGGCTCTTGGACAAGCTTGCTGCTGAAGCGGAGGAGTTGAGGGAATACTTGGTTGAGCTTGCCGAGCAGGCTCAGGCTGTTGGGGTTGAGATCACCTGGTGGGGGGATCCCCTAGACAATGAGGCTAAGGTTGAGCATTTGGAGGAGGGGGAGATTTTGGAGCTTTGATTTCCTTTTTCTTTTTCTTCCTTTGGAGGTTTATCTTGGTGGTGGTAGTCCTGTTTTTTGGTGGTGAAAATTCCTTCTCTCATTTTAATTTCCCCTCAACTTTCTCTCCTTATCGTAATACCTCGGACCCATAATGAGATCTAGCCGTTACATTTAAATAGCCCTATCATACAAACTTTATATCATACAACTAGCTAGCTTAAAAAACTTACGATATCATACTCATCTCCTCATGGCACTTACCCCCATCACCACAGCAAATTTAGCTGAACCGCACCTCCCTTTATATCCAAGAATCGCCAGCAAAAATCGTTCTTATAACCTACCCTAAATCCTCTCCAGCATAAACCCAACTTAAACATCCCCACTCCATCTACGATACTAAAACGGATGTGCAGCGCCGCAACCACCCACCCGGGAAAATTAATAACAAGATCCAAGGATAATCTACTACCACTTCCATGAGGGAAGACTCCAAAAGAACATCCAGTGTGAGCAGTATCATACAGTATACCACTTACCAGAAGCTTCTCCCCCTGAAGAAAACGGTTACCCCCCCACCGAAACCCCTTGATCGTTCATTCATTCACCTCGATAGTTGAGCCAGTAAATACTCCCACCAGCCAATACGAACCTAGTATATTTAAGGAGACAAAACTGGAGCACCTTCTGATCCTGCAAGACCCAACTGTTCTCATTAAAATTGAAAGTACATTAAAAAAAAGACTACCCCCGGGGTGGCTTTTTTGATCTTTTTTTCCTTACTGCCCAACAAGTAGGAGGCACAGCACATCGAAATGGCCCCCCCGACCCTGCGAAGCTCAAATACCCACTTGGGGCGTTGTAAAAATCGGGGGGGGGATCGTATATCACACACCGTGTATTCCACACACACGCCCATCTTTCTCCATAATCCGAAGCCCACCATAACAGACCCCCTTACAGTACGGCGGTAACTCTCACTACCCCTTTTGGACTTGAGTGAGAAGTTGTGATCGGGGAACACTTCCTCGCTCCCCCCCCCCCCCCCTACTACCCCCAGGATCAATTCGATGGCTAGTGTGAGTTCGAAACGTAAGGTGAGCAAAAAAAAAATCAAAATTAAAATAACGGAGGCAAAATTCTATACTGTACCCAGTGCTCCCAGTCGTCCCGTCCGACTATCATACCGCCGACCAAAAATTGGTCAATGCACCCAATGCCACCCAGTAAGACACACACTAGTGCTGCAATAAGTTAAAACAAAAATAAGGTAAAACAAATAAAATTTTAATGGGGTGATATGGTATACATAAAAGGAAATCCAGGACTAGTGCCGTCCGACAGCCATCGCCCCGTCCAGTCCGTCCAAAGACGAGGCATTGTCGTCCTCCGTCGTCCTGACCCCGTCTAGGACGGACTGGACGACTGGAAGCGCTGCAGATGATGATCACAGCAATTAATCTGGGTAGTACAGTATTGAACCTACTAGTAACACTAACTAATAACAGTAGAGAGATGCCTGTAATAAAGCATCTCTAAATATCATTATCTAAACCTAATCAAGGATTTCATCATTACTCAAAACATTTTCACTAGTATCAACATTACCATTGGTGTTTGAACCCAATTGATCTGGCTGTAAGAATCTATATACTAATTTAAGAACAAATCATACCTGTCAAAACTGGGGTAAATCTTAAGATAATTAGTAATTATTTAGTCAAAGTTCTGCAAGAATTTTGACAAATACCTTTAATCACAATATATGTGTGTTCTCCATCTGTCCTCTACTTATCCCTCCTATTACCAAATTTACTAGTCCAAAAAGAGCAATTAGACTTATAATTTGAGTTTCTACAAACAATGTTTTCCAACTCTAATTGAGCTTCAAAAACACCAAAGCATTTATAACTCTTATAATAAAATTGTTGTAAGATATTTTTGAAGTTATATACTTCCAGGAACATGTCAGCAGAAACCCAACAGTTAAGACTCGGAAATCAAACTTCAGAAATAGATATTCATCATAATATTGTATTTTATTTTCCCACATAATTTTATACATATTCAAATTTAGATCCTAGACTATATAGAATAAGTAATACAATATACTAGTTTCTTTCAATGAAAATAAAAATAAAAATAAGATCAACTCCTAAATAGAGTCTTATATCTAACTTTATTCCTTATACTATAAAAATTCTCAAGAATACTCAGTATGTATAATTTCCCAGTGCTAGTAGTAGGATTAAAGAAACAGGATTTTATCATTCACTATCAAACAATTTAGGAAATGAATAGACTTCATACTATCAAAATAAACATTTTCTTGTCTGACAGAGGGGGAAGAAATTGTCAAATTTTCCTTACCAGAATCAAAGAATCTTCTCATCCAACATGATAAGTACTGATTTTTGCTCTGGCCCTAAACTTGTCCCTGATTCCTGATTCTGATAGCATTTATGAAGAGTTTGTAAATTCTCTTACTATTGAAAAGATAAGGTTGGCATGAGAACATAAATAATAGTTAGGAAAAAATTAGAGAATTCAACTACTTGAAACTGAAGTTAGGTAAGACTATAGGCTTCAGTATTCCCACTTCAATTCCATCCTGTAGTTGATCAGCCGGATTTATATATATGTAGTGAGGAGGTTTATTGAGGTAGTAGGTGTATTGAACGTTATGATAGCTGTGCGGTAGTGGGGATACTGTAGTATCATAGCTCCCAGCGTTTGTCCTGTAATAATTATCGTATATCATTCTACATTCTAGACCCGTCGTTTATAGCCTAGAAAGGGGAATCATCACAACCCCCCGACCATCCTACCCAATAACTCCCCGACACTCGCACACGCACACAATCCCCAACGAGCCCAGCGTACTGTACTCTCCCTCTAAAGCTCACAAACCCGACGAAGAACAAAGTTTATAAAATTGTAACCACATCGTGATGCTTTCGGACTAGTATAGCGGGATTACCATCCCCCCGAAGCCATAAAATTATCATAAAAGTCAAATTCCGTTTGTTTATCAGCAACTTTTCATCTATCATAGCTTACCCCAACTCGAGCGGTATGTTATGTACCATACAAAAAGCCCAGAATCACCAGCAAGCTCATCGTCTCTCCCCTGTCACTCATTGTTCAGCATAGGTTAGAAACGGGTTATCATATCATTACTACATAAAACAAAAAAGAAACACACCAGCCCCACTATACAGACTTCCAGGATATACCATACCAATCAAGTGAACATTATTCTCAGTCCCTCATGCCCCCCCCCCCTTTTTTATTTCAGTTCAATTTTCTCCCCCCACATGACCAAATCGTGAGATATTCCATCCCCGAGTGACCCATCATGACCCATAACACTAACGCAGGAAGGATAGCATGTACAGTGCCGTACCCCCCCAGGTATCATGCTACCAATAGTTCGTCGGTGTTAACATTGATATCCCGCCGATAGAGTATTTCGGGTACAATATATTTAGGTATCACCTAGCTCCACGCAATGGGACAAATAGGACAAAAATTATGCCTCCCATAACTATTATTCTCCAGCATCCAACATCCATCCCCGCAAATCCGGAAATTCAAACAAAAACTACAGTATCATATACCCCATCTAACTTAGAAAACTTTTAAAAAAAATCGCCAAATTTTTATAACCCCCCCTTTCTCCAAACCATACCAGACAAAATACTAAAAGTCAACATTTCTCTGCCCTCTCCCCTATATCAATCCCGAAGGCGCACACAATAGGACAATTCTTGATATATATTCTCTCACCATGCTATCTCTCTTCCTCTCCTCACTTGCTTTTTTTCCCCCAACCACTCTTCCCCCTTGTGCCCTAATCGCCTATTCGCATGAAATTAATTATTCACGGATGGGAACGTAGGTATAATAGGTGGTAGAAAACGCACACACGAACAAAAATAACAGGTGGAAAAAAAAGGAGAAAAAAAGGTACACTCAATGTGGAGGGGGAAGCTAATAATGAAAGCAGGAGGAAAAGAAACGAGACAAGGGGAAAAAAAAAAAAAGTATTTTATCTTTGCCTGTAGCCAACCCAACCAACACCACCCAAGAATGCCCCATCCGAATCCGTGCTTTTTTTACCATTTCAGTTCACTCAATCATACCCATACAGCCGTTATATTCCATCGCACAATTAAGGTTTCTGTTTTTTTTGCCCGTTTTGCTGTTTTTCGTTTTTATCACCCGCTCCCAACAACCCCAACTCCAAACCCTGCTAAAAACAACCCTTCTTTTATCCAAATGCCGGAAAAGAAAAATACTCCCGATCGTCTTGTACAAAAGCAAACTACTTTGAACTTATGCACCGGGAGAACGCCCACCTCCATTGATCTCCTTCCTCCTAGAATCGTCGAGACCAAGTCCGCCAAGTCCTCCAGAGAGGAAGGAAAATGCTTGATCATCAGGTAGCCCTGCGTATAATCCATTAGGCCCATTTCCACCAGATGAGAAAGCTTGCTCGGCCCTCTGATCAAAAGGACCGGCAGAATTGGGTCCAACTCCAGGACCCAAAGACGTGTTCAGCGGAGGAAAGGTGCCACTTCCGCCCCCAAGACCAGAGGGTAGCCCAAAATTGCTAAGCTGACCACCGAATTGTTGGCTAGGGAAACCGCCTCCTCCAAGCTGACCTCCAACGGGTCCCGCCCCACCCCCAAGAATCTGTCCTGGTCCCAATCCAAATGCTCCATAAGACGGAGGCCCATCCATAGGCGATGGAAATGCCGTGTCGGCAACTGCCGCACCAGCACGACTTGCACCACACCTCAAGCAGCTAACATTCTTGGCAAAGTTGTGGTAACCACACCCATCAGAACCGCACTTCCAGTCCCCCGCTCTAAAAGGCACCGCCCCACCGCCCGGCATAGCCCTAGATTGCAGTCCATGTCCTGCCCCATGCCCCATAGCCGGAGGTTGAGGCGGAACCATGCTCTGGGAGTAGCCGGAATAGCCAAACACGGTATCCGGGCTTGGTCCGGCGGGAACAGCAGGGAATGAACATCGGAAACAAGCAGTTCTACGCTGGAAGTTGGAAAATCCACAAGATGGGCAAGTCCAGTCCCCAGGCCTAGGTCTGTTTTTACTTGGGGGGAAGGGTGTGAGAATCTCTGCTGCTCTATCAAGCACTCGACTGCTGCTAGGAGAAACTTCAATCGCCTTCTCGTTCAACGCTCGCCCGTTCATACAAAGACTCTCTGCGGCCTGCATATAAGATATAATTAGCAACGGTCACACACGAAAAGCCAAGCTAGAAGTAAAATTAAATTACCTCTTCATGTGATGAAAACACAGCAAACCCTGTACCTGTTGGCTTGTGCTGGTCCGGGGTTCTGAGTGTCCAAAAGGCAATTGGGCGACCGCCATACTGAGTAAACCAGCTTTCCAGCTCAGATTGGGTGGTATCATGCGGCAATCCGCTCATATGGAGGACTTTACTTCTTTCACTCAAAAAGGCTCTAACATCAGCTCTGGCATCCATGGGCCTTGCCAGAACATCAGGGTGTTGTTCTGGGGGCTGGGATTTCTTGATCAATCCACGCAGAACCCTCGCCAGTGTGATAGCCTCTTCCATGGCTCTACGAGGAGAAGCGGGTGCCAAAGCCTGGAGATGGAAGGGCAAATTGTGCTTTATCGGGGCTGACGATTGAACAGGCTCAACTTCGAGGGCAGCACAGATATTAGCCAGAGAGGATGGACCAAAGGGCAAAGACTCCGGATGATGCGATTGCCATCGGGTATACTCAGTCCTCAGGTCAAAAGTCCTGGAATGTTGTAAATACGGGGGTAAAACAACAGCCTTGTCTCTGGCTTCACGAGGCAACTGAACCCGGAGATCCCAAGCATCCAAGGTCACGAAGGTAAAGTCTAATTGCTGCGACATTAGGTATTCTTGTGCGAAGGTGTCAAACCGATTGACGGCATCTCTGAACGACCCGGCCGTCCGCACGTGCTCCCACGTAAGCGTAGTGAGGCTTGCTGCATTAGGAAACCATTAGCGGGAGCTCGGAAAGAAGAATTTGATACCAAGAAGGATGGAGGAGCTTCGTACTGCACAGCGGAGTAATGGGAGTGTTGACGGGCCTCACAAGAACACTCTCCCTGTGAATCTAATTACCATCAAACCGATCAGTAGAGGAATCTCGGAAAAGAATAGATACATCAGAGCTTCAAACCTCCTCGAGGGACTTCGCATTCAAGAGAATCCAACCGATCTCAATGACCTCCGCAGAATCCTTAGTTACATAGACACCATGCTCATCGCAAGTAGTGGCCACATGGATAACCACATAACGATCCATAATAGATCTCTAGTAACAATTCAAATATCGTTTGACCAAGAGCTCGGGGGGGTTCTCGCTGTTTGCACTGATGAAACGGGCGAAAAGTGAAGTGCTTGATGGTTCTCCGTTGCACTCGAATAACCGCAGGATAGAAAAAAAAAAAAAGGTTTGAAAGGTCGAGGGAATAGGACAGAAGATGAAACAGGGCCTCCCGAAGATAGTAATGCAAAAAAGAGAACCTCCGTGAATAAGAAATAGAAGAGAGGGAGGGTGAAGGGAGGGTGTGTGGAAGGGAGAGAGAAGGTTCAAGGTGGAAGAGGGAGACGAGGTGGATAGGATTGGGGGGGGGGTGGTGTTGTAAGAGTGGTGGTGGTGGTAGTGGTGGTGGTGAGGAGGGATGGGATGGATGGATGGAGGAGGTGAAAGCGTGTCTGATCCAGTGACGCGGATACTAGGAGAGGAAATGAAAGAGAGAAAAATAAGATTATTCGAGCTGCAAGAAGGACAGACAGCGAAGCCGAAGATGCAGGCGAGACAACGAAGAGGAAGAAAAAAGGGCGTTCTATTTTCCTACCCTCCTCGTCGCTATGACTTCCCTCCCTTCCCCCCCCCATCCTAACCTCACACTTAGACTACTTGATGAAAATTACCATTCCTTCCTTCCCTCCAGACGATAATTTTCCTTTCTTTTCCCAATTTCCTTCCCTAATCATCTTCTCTACCAAAATTTAATGATCTTCCTAATCGAGGAGTTGGCGGGATTTTCTTTTTCTTCTAAAGCTTGGCACACAATTCGAATGAACAGACGAGCACGGAATGGGCCGAGAACAAGGTGTTGCTAATAGGGTGCTTCTCGCGATGCTATTGCTCCAAAGCATCACACACTCGAAAGGTCACGGCAGAGTCGCGGATGCAGCAACACCATCGGTCTAGCTACAACCATCATCGTCATCACAACCTTTCCATTGGTTATCCATTGAAGCTCCAATACTATGATACCATCCCATCCATCCATCCCTCCAAGGAAGTTCATTGTTTCTCTCATCAATATCTATTCAGAGCAATTCGATTAAAACCTTCACCCACCCACCATCGTGAGTATACATATACCATCAAGATCCCTTGCCAACGCCTTTTTTCCTGGACGGCGCAAAACACATAAATGCCCCTCGCCGCCAGCTCATTCTCCCAACCCCCTTTTCCATAATCTGTGCACCGGCATTGGTCCTGGGTATCAATGTGCTGTGCTCGAGCTCAGTCTGTGCTCTCGGATAGCCGACTATCTGATTCATGGCGTTAGGCGGACCGCAATGCACAATCAGTGTCGGTGCTATCAGAAATCAGAATGCATATGCGGATGGAGGCCCCCGCACATGACCTTCAAACTTCGGGGCTGAGCCTCGAGCTGTTGAAAAGGGTCCTTGGCGCCAAACTCTATTGCAACCGTTGCTATGGGAGCTCTACCTGAGCTCACCACCGCCGTCCCCAATGAGTGCAGTCTTCCGCAGAAACAATTGACGCTGATGGAATATTTCTGCCGGTACTTGTCTTTACCCATGAGAGAGAGAGAGAGAGAGACGCCTGCACAACATCTCCCTGGTGCCGGCTTAATATGGGTTGAGATATTTCGCCATAAAGGCTGGCTCGTTTCAGAGCTCCATGACTCAGTTCGAGATGCCGTGCGCGGTTGAAGAGCTGGAGAGAGCCAACCAAACCGGCAACCCGAACGGCAGGATCTCTGGATGCATCTATCTAGCATTCATCCGGCACGGGTGTCCTATTTCCCTTGTGACACCTCGAACCTTTGACAAAGCATGTCGCGAGTCCAGCATGGTACAAGTACAGCAGTGAATTTCCGTTAGCACCGCCAGTATTGCTGGATGCTGTGCCGACACCACCAAGGACCCTCCCCAAGCTTGAAGCACCCCGAAAACAGGGATTAAAGGAATACCGGTACTTGTATGATATTCTTACGGTAAAAAATCTGCGCGTATCTGAGCGCCAATACAAAATATGCCTCCATGTTTTCGGGTAGTTATGGCCCGGGACAAGCATTCGTGCAGCCCACTCGTGTGGCTTGCACTCTCCGCATTTTCCTACCGTTACAAACAACCTTGTCTTGCGCTGCCTCAAGAATATTGCAAGTTTACGGCTCGGAACCACCCTCTCTGCAGGCAATTGCTGCCATTCCTATAAAGCACTCCTCGTGCGATAACGAACATCTACAGCGAACGCCTCAGCAAATTTCATCGGACGAACGGTACCATACAGCATGCAACCATGCATCCCGGAACAGTATTACTGCGGAAGGAGCCTGTTGATCGCTGCATCTCCAGTCGTAGCCACTGATCATCTCTGGATGCGTGTTTCTAGACCTCCTTATTCCGCAGCACCCCGCGAGGTTGGCCATGCGCCCAAAGCCTCTAACTTGTCCGCACACACACGCGCAACAGAAACACGTTAACAGTCCCAATGCGATAGTCGGAACCACCGGGCAACCTTCTAAGAAACATCTCCACTCGCATGGCCCCCGGCGGGTGGATAAAGTGAAGCCATCCGGACTAGAAAGAGCAGAACCCTCCCCAGGTGCCGTATTAAAAGTTGAAGGGCTTGGGATAGGTGGTGGAAACTCTATCTGCGTATGATCTACGCGAGCCACGTGCGGGCCACGAGAGTCGAGGCCACAAATAAATGTCAACCCCTTTCAGCACTGGTACGGTGGGCGAGAAATGACTCTCCTTTCCCGAGGACGGAATCACAGTCCAATAGCAGAACAGCAACAGCAGAGATACAAGTATCATTGAAGGAGCTCTGCCTTATGGGTGCTGGCCCTATAGATGACCACTGACGAGGCGGAAAGCGATCCATAACATCTTTGTAAATAATTGAACCGAAACCTCTCACCAAACCCCCCCCCTCCGGAAGAGAGAGACTTTTATAATAATGCCCGCCATCACTCTAGATGACCAGCGCCAAGTTACTTCCAAGATATCGAAAATTTCCATTTTCTGACAAACCCAGTAACACAAAGTCACGGTATCATACCGGTTCGCAAGTAGAGTAACGCCTCTAATTTCCAAACAAACCCTGCATCGCTCTCCTTGTTTCAATGTCTCAGATTGTCCCCTTCCTCCCTCCCCCTCCATTTCGTCATTGGTTCACCGCCACATGACCACACGACCGATCACGTTTTGTCAAGTGCAGTAAAACATTTCTATGGGGTGTCTTTTTTTTCTTTTTCTTTTTCTTTTTTCTTTCCTTTTCCTTTTCCTTTTCCTTTTCCTTTTCCTTTTTTTTTTTTTTTTTCTTTCTCGAGACTTCTAGTGAAGGAAAGTGGAGTCCTAGGGAGAGAAGGAGAGGATATGCAGATTTACGGTATTATATGGTACGGGTGCTGATTGGGGGTTTAACTTACCGTATCGTAGGTTGACGAGGGGTGGGTCGAGCCCCGGAATAGCGGCACCACGAGAAGATTACGAAAGACTTACGAGACAGTAGAAATCCCATAGTAGAGTAGAATCGAGTGATATAAAGCGCACTACAACACCATTATCAGAACCCGTGATGCCCAGATAAGTTTCTTGTGCAGGCAGGACAGGTGTAGAAAATTGCACCTTCAAAGAAGAAAAGCAATAAAAAAAATATTAAAAAAAAAGTCGCCGGAAAAAGCAAGACACTCCGATGTCAAAGTGTAAAAAGTGTACGGTACTGTTCCACTTGCTGGCATAAGCCATATCGACAGCTGTAAGCAGCAAACGACTCGACAGATAAAAGTACGGTGCGGTATGATAGGCTTTCTTTTTGTGGGGGAAGGGGGGGAGGAGGAGAACGCCAGCGCCTTGAGATAATCCTCCGAAGTATTAATAACTTCCCCACTGCACCCTATCCTCCGCGTTATCCATCGAATCCAGGTACTGTACAGTACAGCACTCTACAGTCCCGTAAGTCCTCACACGATCAACAGCAACGGCGACAACACCATACCCCACCCATAAATTTATATATTATATAATATTATAATATTATATAAAAGTTAATAGCCAGGTTGTAATTTGATTCGCGCCTTCTCGAGGAGGGGTTGGGTAAGTGAAATATGGCTGGGATTTTTGCGCTTGTATCATAGTCGAGCGCATTGAGAGGGAAATTTTTCTGGATGGATGCATTGGCGATCAGTAAGCTTTTCGCAGGACCCGATGCCCTGGATGAATGAATGGATGGATGGAACTTCTTCGGCGTGAGAATGGTATGGGTGGAGTTTTTGTTTCATTGTATCATAGCAATTGTTTTGTGTTTTTTTTTTTTTTTCTACGCCGGTGATTGTTGGGTTAGGGATTGGTGAGGGAGGATTCAATGGGTGAACGAGAGGGGAACAGTCAGAGGGGTCAATCGGTTCCTGTGCCAGCATAAATACCGGTAACAAGGTTGGTCATCAGTACCGGTATTATAGGATACTGCACCCGTAAGCTAACTATCAAATCAACAGTATGATAACTGGAACTGAAACTTGTGGCCGGAATCTCTCACTTCCTTCCCTTCCCTTCCCTTCCCTTTCTCTTTTTCCGCCTCTTTTTTCGTGATTCTGCCTGCCATCTTTTCTTTAACATAAATTTTGGTATAGGGGGGGGGGGCGAAGACGACGTTCACAGGAATACTCCGTACTGCTCCCAGAACCCGAGAAGCGGCCTTGGCAACGAAATCCATCACCTCAAAAAACCTTTATTGTAACAAAACTAATGGCATGGCTACGCTCATGGCTCCGGTCGGGCCGGACTTCGGACAGTATGCGAAGTATCTGGGCGAGTTTACTGATGCGCTCAAAGGAGCGATAGGTCAGCACTACGATACACCTCCCTCCCCGCTAAGTTATGCCAAGACAGACTTGGATATCATAGTCCCCCTTACTCGAGTACGACCATCCCAGACAATAACGAGGACCTAGATTGAGAGATTAAAGAGGCCTTCGAAATAACCCACAAGACCCATTTCGCTTCTACCAAATTACTCAGGTCAGATGACTCCTCAAGGAAAGGAGAAAAGGCCACCTTGGCTGTCCTGTCCCGGAAGCGGACGTTTCAAAAGTTACATCCTCCGTGCTGTTTATAGGAAAGTACAAGGATTCCGCTCTGCAGACCAATATAAGCTTAGATTATGATAAATTCCCACCAGCATTTTGAGGATTCGGGTCCTTATCCTCACCGAGAGTAGGCCTTTCCCCTTTTTTTCCCCTTGTCAATATATCCGCCTATCTTCCAATCACCTCTCCCCACCTTTGTCACCTTCCTTCCTTCCCTCCCTTCCTTCCATTCCTTCCCTTCCTTCCCTTCCCCCCGCCCCCACAGTCAGTCGACCAACCAACCTTCTCGTAATCCTTATCCTCAACCTGCTTCTTTTTCTTTCTTTTTCCCCACTGCCAGGAGGACTTGAATCATTGACCCCTCCTCCCCCCACTACTGCATCCCTTCCCTACACCTGTATACGCAATTGCGCATGAATAATTGGACACGCTACATAATGCACTTCCTCAAACGTCTCGTAAAGCCTCCCAAGGGGGCCAGCTCATTCGGCGACGACGAGGACCGCACCCGCAGCAAACACGGGGGGAAGAAGCAGGGCAGGGACGGCAGTCAGAATGGAAGTTGCAACTTGTCACACGCCTCACCATATGCCGACCTTCACCCCTCACCTGCTTCGGAAGCTCCGGTGGAAGTCCTCATGACAATATTCTCCTTCATCTGTCCACACGCCCTCGACGAGACTTACCTTTCGGCGGAGGAAACAACCATGGAGCTAGGGTGCATGCTATGCGACATGCGGGAGCTCTCCCATTGCGGCCTTGTCTGTCGCTCATGGCACAAGGCAGCGCAGTTGTTGCAGTATCGCAGTATCCGACTAGACAGCGTGCACTACTGCGGTCTGGAGGAGGAGCTGCAAACGCGAAGGAAACGGGGCTCCTTCTTCCAGAAGCACCCCTCCCCCCTTGGGATTCCGGAGCACAGGATGCGATTGCTCTACCGAACCTTCCAGGAGAACGAGACCGCAGCTACGCTCACACAGTTTTTGAAAATGCCCTACATGGCCAGGGAGACGTACAAGCAGGACTCGGCGTGGCTTGTGTCACTCTTGCCGAATTTGAGATACGTGGATTTACCGGACGGTGTTTACCAGGATGATTCTTCCTGCGCTTCCCTGAAGGCTATACTCTACACGCGGTGTCCCGGCCTGCGGAAGATGAGTTGGGTCGGGGGCTCCGAGAAGAGTTTTGTTGATTTGTGGATCGAGCCGCCCTGGTTAGGCCTTGAGGTCGTCGAACTCACAGGGATGAAAGTCGAGAACCGGGACCTGGTCCAGGTGCTCTCCTCCTTGCCACACCTCATCCACCTGAAAATGAAGTCCATGCCATGGACCACTGACGCAATCTTCGACTCCACGGCCACAAACGTTGGACTCTTCCCCGCTCTGCAAACACTCGCCATCGAGGACACCTCATCCATCACCATCGACGGCTTAAAAGCCTACCTCACCCGCCCCGTCGCCTCGGAGGCCCTCGAAACGCTTGTATTAACAAACACCCCCATTCCTGCGCACGTCTTGCACCAAATTCTCCCATTGGCAACACGCCTAACCTCTCTCTCCTTCCGCACACAAGTCTCACGCACCATCCCGCGCCAGGATCTGGCGCTCCTGACCTCCGCATCACTAACCCACCTCGCCTACGAAATCACCGATGATGAGACATCCACCAAATCGCTCGCGAAGCCCTCACCCTCGTACTACGCGTACCTCTCTGAATCCCTCTGGAACGGCGGAATGCCAAAGCTGAAAGACCTCTACGTCCGCGAGCCAGCGTTCCATGCACGCCTTCAGAAATATAAAGCCTCTGCGGGGGTGTTTGCTGCGACGGGCTGGACTCAGGATGTGCACTTGTATACCAAGGGAATGGAACACTTGGAGTGGACAAAGTACAGCATTGGAGACGTCGGCGGGAATTTACTGATCCTGTCGACCCTTAAAAGGGAGGCCGGCTCACATGCCAGCTTTTTCGCGGGCCTTAGCGACAGAAACGAAGTCGGGGATGGCAGGGCAAGCTTCCTCGCCATACCCAGTGAGGCGGGGGAGTGCACGTCCGGCAAGCGGGAGAGGAGGAAGAGTCGGGTGAATTTGTGGAGGTGATTGGTGGGCATTTTCAACGGGATGGGTGTATATAGCTGCTTTTTTTTTTTTTTTTCTTGGAGGGGCGTATTTTCTTTAAACTTTTCGCACTGTATGGTTCCGGGCAACCAAAACCCGTTCTTGCGGGGCCGACCTGATCCAGGGTTTCCAGGTTAGGTATGGCTTCTCCTTGAGAGAGTATAATACGGTTCCCTCTAGGCCGATTCCTCGAATAGCGAGTTGAACAGTAAATTATCTAGAGCAGGCATACGATTCTCCATTTCCACCCAAAATCATACAGGAACCGATCCGCTACCGTAGTTATTGTAGTATCGGAATTGAAGACTAACCAACGATTCTATCTACCCCATTAATCTCGAACCCGTTAACAAAACCCCCAAGCGAGCCTTACCATCATCATCGGAAACCTCGTAAAGGTGATTCACGAATACGTACGCCATGCGCTCGAAACGGAAAGGAAATCGAGATGGCTGTCGTCGTGTGCGAGTGATGATATTGTTGATTAGTCAGATACTTTTTCGTTCGAAAAACTGGTATCGTAAAATACCTTAGGGACTAATTTAAGGGGCGGGGTGACTTTTTGTGATATCGTGTCGTAAGCATAGGCATGATATGGTATTATACTCGTGATGTATGTGCTTTCGAACCCATTCAGGTAGAAGAGTATTACTGTGGTGGGTTTTCTAAATTTGGTTGGGTGCACTTTTGATTTCCATGGTGAGTGTTATACTAAGGGCAGTGCGGTATCATACTCGATTGGTTGTAGTTGGTGATGAAGATCTAAATTGCCCAAGTTATGATACAAGATAAAGTGAAGAATAAAATTAAAAAAGACCAAAACGCCCCTTTTCTATGATACTTTTCAAGCCACGATTAACCCCCAAAAATTTTCCACTTCCAACACCCACTCACTTCTCCGGCGCATCCGGTAACCTCTCGATAACATACTTCCCATTCCCACAACTCATGATAGGCACACCGGGAATCTTCCTTACCCTCCTCTTCAAATCCCGATCGTTTGTCGCGACGATATATATCCTATCAACCAACCCCTCATTTAGCCCCTCCCCCTTCAAAATGGGCTAGGACGGGCAAGGAAAAAAAAAAAAAAACCTCACTTATGTTGCAAAACCCGATTCACAATACAATCATCAGCATACGTCCCCTTATGATCGCACCTGGCCCTCTCAAACCTAGGATCCCTAGCGATGCGCAACGCGATCCGATACCGACTCCCCAACTTTTCCAATTCCGCCATGACACAATCCGTGATGACGGGCGTGGCCTTCGCGTACAGGCAATCCATCATGGACTGCATCACCTCCAACTTCTTTTGTATGGTAAAGTTCAGGAAGTTGGTGTCCACGAGGACGGAGTAAGGTGGTCGGAGCGCCGTGTTGAATTGGAAGAAGAGAGAGGAGGAGACTTGTGGGCTGTGAGAACACGGTTAGCAATTAGTTATGGGAGGGGAGGGGGGAAGGGAGGGAGAAACATTTCACGAACTACTTCGCCGGATTTGTCTTTTTTTGTGATGGCGGTTTGTTGCTTTGCTTGGTTCTTTTTGAGACGGGTGTCGCGGGAGGAGATTACTCGCTTGACTTGTGCGAATTTGCGGGTTTTCTTGGCGATTCCCATTGCGTTTGTGTTGTGAATTGAAGAATTCTTGTGGTGGTGATGGTGGTGATGGTGGGGGAGACTGAAAAGAGGCGCCGTAGTCGTTGAAAATGTAAAGATGGATCACCACCGAGGTGGGCTAATGAGTAGGTAGGGTAACTTTTATCACACGAACACGATTAGGTTTGACCCTAGTGCGCTATGGGGTATCATACATATAATTAATACCTTACTGTGAGCAAATCCTGACCTGCGTCACTGCTACCGCCAATGATCGAATGACAATTCATGAGACCTCTGCACGTCGCCGTGCACGATAACGGTGAATGGAATACGAGACGGTAGTGCACTTGCGCTGCACTGTACCATAAATAACCGACTCAATCAATGATATTAATCCAGAGCTCTTTCACCTGCTTTCGGGCACCCGCTCAAATATTACTTAAGCCCGAGCAAAATAAAATATTATTAAATAAAATAAAAACGCGGTAGCTGGCCAGTCAATAAGTAGTGAATAATTTTAGCCAAGACAAAGGGGGAAAGAAAATAGAGGCAAAGCTAAGAATATGGTACAGGCGAAGCGGAGCTATTGATAATGGTAATAACTGTAAAGGAGGGAATGGGGGGGTGGAAAAAATTGATACAAGAATAAAAAGAAAATGTACGGTACGTTACTACAATGGAAACAAAGGTCGGCCAATCAAGACCAATGAGAACTTTTTCTGTTCACCCATGCCATATCACATTAGGGGAATAAAATGCAAACACTCCGATCCCATCCGAGTAAAAACACAACGCAAATGCAAGGAACAAAGCAACCTATAACATACATCCCTCATCACGACAGCTACGAATCAGAGTCCGATGAGTGATAATCTCTATCGATGATCGGCCCTGTGGGTCCCATCTCCTTCTCCCGCTGTTCCAATAGACTGCCAGGTGCGAAGACGCTCTTGCCATAAGGATTGAGCAATGGGGTGATCTTGCCGTTCTTGCCAATTGCGTCTTTGGATGTAGCGACGCCGTGACCGGCCGTGACTGCTCCTGCAGACTGATACTTGCCCGCAAGAAGGCCGGTGCCCGTGAAGGGGGTTTGATCTTCATCGCCACTCGCCTCGCCATGCCGGGTTCTACCTTTCGCCGTTTGCGGTCGCTTGAGTTGCGCAAACAGAGGAGGAGCATTAGGAAGCGGGGGCGTCTCAAGGGATGACTTAGCGAAGCTGATAAGGCCACCACCCTCGCGTGCATTCTTCTCCGAGATGGAGTGTCCTCTACCACGATGACGGTGGGGTAGCGATGGTACGGGCTCCCCCTCGTCAAAATTAAGTAGAGTGCCTCCTTGCTTGTGAGAGGTGGATGGCCTTGAAGCCACTGTTTCCCTCCGTCTAAGGGATTTGGTTTCCTTAGGAGAGGTCTCTAAGGATAAAAGTGGATGCGTGGGATCCCGAGGACTGAAATTCCGAGCTTTGGGCGATTGGGGGGTCAACAGACCGGAAAACTCATTACAGGGCTTCGCGCGCTCCTCTCTGTAATTAAGTTGGGCGACGCGTTTCTTGTCCTCATAATCCGAACCCAGGAGACCACCAGGTGAAAACACTGCTTCCCCATCCGAGACACTTCCACCAATTTGTGGCGACCTTCCAGAACAACTCCTCTGCCTCCCAGAGGGTTTCCTAATGGATTTGGCGCTATGTAGCGACTTGGGTTTCTGAGCATCGGAAGGTGGCTGGGCGAGCTCCTCTGGAGAAATCAAGGGTCTGGGCCTGCGCCTGCCCCCAAGACTGCCAGAAGAGGTACTTTTATGACTAACGGACAGCTCTGCCTTAATCTCCGGCTCAGCTGCCCAAGGAACAATTGAAAGCTTCTCCGCGATCAATCGAGCCTTCGAATCCCTAATCATCGCAAACCATCGACTCAACTGCGATGCGCTCTCGGCAGAGAGGTAGTGGCAATAAACCGAATCTTTCCCAAACAAGCTCATCTTATGCTGCGATTTCAGTGCAAAACAGTACTTTGTAGGACATTTCAGTTTACTCTCTGGAGAAAAAGCGTTGACAAAGCTGTAAATATCGAACGAGTCAAGATTGATGGTCTGCGTAAAGTCCTTCTCGCTCGGCTTATCCTTCTTGGAAATCTTGATCGCTCCGCCGTCCAATTTTATCCAACGCTTCGACCATTTTTTATCGGCCTGGACATAGTAGTGGAATTGAGCAACTCCACTGGAAGGCTCTTCCGCCGCATAATCTTCAAGACGCTCACCGGTCTGGCCCCAGACATTCTTCTCGATGCGAAAATGACACTTCGTTTCAATTTCCCAGGTGCTGTGGACATCGCTAAGCTTCTCGAAATACCGAATTTGACGCTGCAATCCAAAGATCGGCCAACTCTCAACAACAATCCGCTGTTTCCCAGGCCTCACATGCGACAGAAAAGACTCGACATCAGTGGAGTTGAGGATGCCAATAGGTTCTGTGCCTCTAGAAGAATTGACTGGGACCTTTATGTCATAGTTCTGGGCCTAGGGTACATTAGCGCTATGCACAATTCAATGCCACACAACCCCATGACGGAACTCGCGTCAACATTAAACAACCAGCCGAGAGATGGCTGGAGTCGGCCAAGTAAATGATAGAGAGAAAAAATCTATCCTCACCATATTCTCCCCACGGCGGCCCGCGCCCCCAGCTTCCTCTTCCGTAGAGGACTCGCCCATAGCTCTAGTAGACTTTCCCCTTCTCCTTCCAAACCTCGGGGTCGGCTTTGGCGGGGAATGCGATGGCTTCGTGAGCTTGCCACTGTGTGGGGCAGTTGCTGTAGGGGGAATGGGTGGAACGGGAACAGGAGGTACATCTTTCGTATTCAGCCGTAAAATCTTCCTAAACTTGGAAGGGTTTCGAGCAAGGGGCTGCTCAACTACTGGCTTCGGAGGCCCAACGGAATCAATCAGAGGGGCGGCTACCGGTTTTGGCGGTTGTTGGTGCTGCGGTACTGGTGCTGGTGGTGGTTGAGAGTTGATCGAATGATGCCCCAGTTTCCTCCGAATCGTGCGGTAACGAGACGGCGGCGCATGCTGAGGGTTTTCCGTTTGCATCGCGGCCGAGGTGGCCCCCTCCCAGAAGGGAACTTGAACGTAGTGGAGTTGGTCTTAAAGATGAAGGGATCCAGTTTGTTTATTGAAAATGGGTGGGATGACGAGCGAGAAACGGGAATTGAATAAAGGCGGGTTAAAGGTGCTCGAAGGGGGAGAGGGGAGGAATTTCTCGAAAGAGAAGGGGCGCACAGGAGTATTAAATATTTTTCCAGGTCCTGGGCGCTGGTTCCTGGCGATCGTCTGGTCCTCACGTGTGGGGCTGCAGGGGATGAAGAGAGAAGAGAGTTACCGGTATTCGGGACGAAGGGAGAGTGTGAGAAAAGAGATGGGGGGTGCAGCCAAGTAACAACCCCGGCAGCAACCCCTAAGCACCGCAACCACCAACTACCGTGAACAAACTTGTATGATAATAATATTATGATACATACATACAGTGCCGTACAGTACCGCGAACCATCTGCCATCTGCTACAGCTCACGGGTGACGAAGATGTTTTTTTTTTTTTTGTTTCGTCCCCCCGACCTTCCTTTGATAGAACCAATTGCGGGGTTATCACCCCTACCTTCTTTGCCATGACCGCAGCAAACCGCCTCATCGACCATACACGTAGATACTTGTAGTTCCTTTGTCCCGCCGCCGCCCTCCGGCATGATTGTTCGTGACATGCAACAGCGGTGTCCATCGTAGGAAGCCGAGCAAGGACAGCAAAGGCCTAGGATTCCCACCACCACAAATCCCCCGAACCGAACTCCGCCAACGAGTGGAGCTTACCATTACGAGAATGACACCACGTAAAAAGAAAATACAAGCACAAAAGAACCATCATAACCCTCAGCCCAATCCGATCCCGATCCCAAGGCTGAAGGGAAAAAAAACCTTTATCAATTGACACCAACGAAAGATAGGGATACCCTGACAACCAATGCTCTGAAACAACCTCCCCCTTTCAAATCTAACCCCTGCCCTGGACCAACTCGGGTGCTCGAGTATGATACGGTACCGTACAGTCACGGCGCGGTACCGGTACTGTACGATACTCGAGTACCGCACGAGTGCTCGCAGGCACCCCGTCCGCCAGAAGGTGAAGGAAAAGAACGAGGAGAAATACCAGCCGCCCACCGTGATCTATCCGTGACCCCCCATCCCAAATTCGGCTACAACTTCCCCACCGTTATCTGTCAGCCGCAGAACTGCCCATCTGGCGCGCTCCCACCCACATTCATGGCGTGCGGAATTGCGGTGGAGACGAACAATAAATCAACCGCTATCGATTGGAATGGGGTGCGGTCATGAGCGTTTGTTTACATTGTCAGATGCTGCAAGTCCTATGCAAACAGTGCAAGATCTTCGGCCTTTGCACCGGTACGGTAACCAATCCATTCGCCCGTTGTATTTATGTCTCCGGTCGATGCCGGCGCCGGTATGCTATGATGGTCCCCCCGTTCGTGCAGCGAGGGCGGTGGAGTATCGTAACAACAACACCCCGTTGGTGGAACCGCTGTAATGACACAATTAAATGATAGACTGGCAAATTTCCCCAAGCGTCGAGGTAGGGCGGTCGTTGGGACCTGTACTCGAGTACGAGTAGCGATGGCGAAGATGAATCAACCAGGCTTGGGGGAAAAAAAGAAAGGGAAGAGGAAAAAGGAAGAGGAATGCCTCACGGTCGACTTGACAGATCCTTCGGTTGGCCCAAGTTGGTGACACCCTGCGGTGTTATTGGTTCATGTCCTACCCACGAGTCCTGTATCATGCAAGCACGGCACTCAGTCTGGCTTACCCCTTAACAGCATGTCCATTCATTCAACTCACCCCGGAACCCAGCCAAGCCTCCTGCCGGGCTCTTCACGCAAACCGAGTGAGGATCTATGATTGCGTGCTTCTCTCTCCCAAGCAAAAAAGCGCCATTCACGTGTCCCGAGTGACGCGCTAGCTCACAAGTTCCACCAATTGCCGATGCTGGGGAAGCCATGGATTTATTATGTGGCCCTATTTTTGCCGCTTTGGCGCGTGTTCTCCCGGAAGTCTCGGTGCTGCTGGATCGCCGTGTGTATCACACATGTGGGTACTCGAGTATGTGATCAGAATCACAAAAATGGCTTGAGGCGAGCACAGTGCTGTCTCGTTTGTTGTACAAGTACCATATCATCTGGCCGGGGGGCTTTTTTTCTCCCGCTTGTATGAGGTGTACAAAGTACTCGAGCACACAGGCTTGAACTGTCACACCGAAATGCTCCTCTACGATACGACTAGAGCGAATGTAGGCAAGGTTTTTAAGGGGCCAGACTGATCCATGTGGGAAGCCACCAACACCCCGCTGCCTCCACACACATAGTGACCTCTCGGCCAATCACATTCCTCCTAAATTGTTTATGCGGAGTGACATCCCATGACCCGTACACGTGCCATCTACTAAGCCATCGCCCTTCCCGCTCAAATCTAGATACCCGAGAAGCCCATTCAAGATGGCACCAATACCGTACCAGGAACTGGGCCCCGTGGGTACCTAGGCCTGCATGAGTGGAGAGCGCGGTGGACATGTCCCCGGCGGGCGGATTATAATACCTGAGTGCTCACAATTCCAGTATCTTGGTTCTCACCCGCTTCCGCTCACCCACCTGTTAGATCCCATGGGTGGCGGCTATAGATCTGGCGGGTGATTTCCCGTGATTGCGGTTGTCTCCACTCGGTTATAGCACCATCCGCTGCCTCTTTGACCCGATTGGACATCACCATGTCAAGAATTTGGTACGTGGTACGGTATATCATAACTTTTAGGCTACCGTCTATGGCTTTATGCTAGGCCTACGTCATTTCTTCACCGCGTACGCCTCCCAACCTCCGCTCTCCAGTTTTTCAACTTTTGCCATAACCTCGCTCTCCATGTCGGAGACGTACTTATCCAGCTTATCTCTAATCTCTCTCCCGAGCTCGCTGTTCTCCGTAGATACAATCCGCAATGCGAGAAGCGCAGCATTTGTTGAATTGTTGATTGCTACAGTAGCTACTGGGACCCCCCTCTATTGCGGGTGTTAGAAGGGAGCAATAAAGAACGGGAAAAGGTTACTAACCGGCATCTGAACGATACTGTGCAAACTATCTACGCCGTCCAGGGTGCTTCCTTTCACCGGAACCCCAATGACAGGGAGTGTAGTCATGGCGGCGACCATCCCAGGGAGGTGCGCAGCTCCACCTGCACCAGAAATTATAGCCCTCAAACCCCGGTCTCTTGCACTTTTCGCGAAGGTGGTCATCCTGTCTGGGGTTCGATGCGCGGACACGATGGTAACCTCATACTCAACCCCGAACTTCTTGAGAATCTCCGCACCAGCCTTCATCACCGGGAGATCAGAGTCCGAGCCCATGATGATCGAAACAATAGGGTTTGGAGACAGGGGAGCTTTGGGAGGAGACGAGTAAGTGGTAGCAAAGGAAGCCTTGGCCTGTTCGGCCGGACTCATCTTGTCTGCGTCTGCTGCATTAATAAGCGGTTGAATCTGATACTCAGCTTCTGCCATAGACCCAGCTACAATAGTGACGTGCCCCATCTTTCGACCTCTTTTGGCCTCACGCTTTCCATATAGGTGGGTGGTCGCTCCTTTAACCTCCAGAGCCTTGTAGGCAACGGTGTCATAGGAAGGGCCAAGGAGATTGAGCATTATGGCATGTGTTGAGGGTGTAGCTAGAGAGGTTGAGTGGGCGTGAAGAGGTAGATCAAGGATAGCGCGAAGGTGAGCTTCATACTGCGAGGTGGGGCATGCTTCGATGGTATAATGGCCCGAGTTGTGTGGTCGAGGGGCGATCTCGTTGATAAGAAGTTCTCCTGAATCCCAAGGTCAATACAAGCTTCACTCCAAACACCTAAGCAGGAGACAGCTCACCATTTTCTAGCAAGAAGATCTCGGCGCCAAAGACACCAGCACCCCAAAGGCTTCCTACGGCCTTTTCGGCGAGTTTTCTTGCCTTCTCCTGAATCGCCCCAGAGACCCGCGCTGGCGCATATACAAGTTTGCAAACGTTCTCTTCATGGACAGTCTCTACAGCTGGATAGCTGATGCACATGCCATCCATTCTCCTGACCACCATCACCGCGAGCTCTTTGGAGAACGATGCCCACTTCTCAGCATATAGCGGTCTGTCCTTCAATGCCTCCAATGCATCTGAAATTGACTCTGGACCAGCGACCACGTAATTCCCTCGCCCGTCGTAGCCCAGCGTTCGTGATTTGAGCATATAAGGATAACCAAATCTCCTGCCAATATCTTCCAAATGAGCTGAAGTGTTTGATTCGACTGATAAGGATTCGGCTGTAGCTACACCGCTGGAAGCTAGATGAGATTTCTGCACATATTTGTCCTGAATGGTGCGGATTGTTTTCCACGAAGGATGGACCTAGGTGTCGGATGAAACCGAGTGAGTGATGATAGCCAATGGTTTGTTTGTCTTTTTACCTTTCAGTAAAGTGAGTGCTAGGCGATTTACCTCTACCGTGGAAGCTGCTTCCAGTTCTTCCAGGACCCTAGTGTCCACATGCTCAATCTCGACAGTTAAAACGTCACATTCCTTAGCCAATTTCAGAATAGCTTTGGGGTCGGAAAATGAGCCGTCTATATGTGCGTGGAGAGCGTTGATTTGCTTTGCGGGTGATTTGGGAGCATCTAGAATAACTGTTTGGAGGTTGAGGCGGTGAGCTGCCTCAACTAGCATTCGACCAAGCTGTATGGTACATGTTAGCTGCCGGTTAATTCGGTGACAGAGGAGATATTATAAACAACCTGGCCACCCCCGAGGATCCCAACAATGCGTGAATCCATTATGTGTGGTGTGATTGGCGATGCTTATTCACTGGGTACGCAGGCAGTGGTAAGGGAGTCGGTGAGACGTGGCTGGGGGGTGGGGCTCACCTTTTTATTCTTTTTTCTTTCTTTTTCTTTCTTAACCTCGGTTTGTTTCAACCACGTCGTTTTCTTTCTCATCAGATTTTATCAGATGGCCCAGTTGGGGAAGGCGCCCCAAGAGATAACTATAACTCTAAATCCCTTTGCATTCGGGTTGTGCCACGACAGCTCAGTTCAGCACCCGAGATCAACCAACCCCCCTCGCTCAACGAGGGAAATAAATTCGTCCCGGTGCGCTTAACCGATATCTTTACGGAGGTACTATAGCGTGGTCTCTTCTGTGCTCCTGTCCATTGTTAAATTTAAGAAGCCCGAGATAACTGGACTACCCGAGATCCATTATACCCAATTCATCGCACTACTTGTACTACTCCTAGCGTAACAACCCCTGCTAGCGGAATATACAAAATTTATGGGCTGTACCTCCATAAGGTTAAAGGGAAGAGAGAGGGAACACTGATATCGCTATCTGCATAACGATAGGGAGTCTTACTATATTGGGGAGCCGAGGGTGATAATTCCCTCGAAACTTCGAGTTGCATCCCGAAGGCCGGGAAAATTGAAGAAAAAAAGAAAGAAAAAAATAGAAAAAATAGGAACGAGGACGGAGCTATAGTAAGTATGATACCGGTATTTCGCTTCAAATGCCCGCCGCTGTAAACAGAATAAACAAAACATCAAGAATAATACGGTAATTAGAAAGCATGTATCGTGCAGGATTTACCCGTGGTTCGGGAAGCTGTATGCGGCAACGAGGATCGCGCATGGTGTTCATTGCCTGATCCGCAATTGATAGGTTACGCTTTTTGCTCGCGGTGGAAAGGAGAAAGGAAACAACGAGCACCCGGTGAAACGAGCATCTGCTTAAGGACGAGCCCATGGTTGGTGGGCGTTGCGTCGGGAAACATTGTATACATAAATGTGTGGATCTTTATGGATATCACTCTTCCCACCTCCGGGTTTATGCCACCAGGAAGGTGGCATAAGAACTAGGCTTGCTTGCTTGCTCTCTTGTAATTACCGGTATTTGCTACCAAAAGGCAAAAGTCTCTGCCGCAAACCGACATGCCCCAACAAAGTTCCGTAATTTCGGATTGCTCACCATGTCCTTGTGCCTTTTTTTTTTAGACATTAGTTTCGAAAGTTATATCATGGGCACAACGCCCCATTGTCTAATCAGATATATGCTACGATAAGCACCAATAGGAATGGTGCGGGGTTACCCCGGAGTGGCAATGGACTCGGCCAAGCGTTCCTCTGATTGGAAACCATTACTTCAGAGCAAGCTGGAGATATCAGAGGCCCGGGCAGAAAGTGGTGCAATAAGCTACCGGTACTGGTAGCTTACTCGCACTGTCGCTATCAAAGTTGCCACTTCATTATTCGGTTGATTGTGGTTGTGCAGCTGTGAAAATTTGAGATGCGTAAGAAAAAGAAAAGTCCAGGTTATTTTCCCTTTTCCAAGAAAGACGCGTGATGGATTCACAGAGCATTCCGTAGTGCACTTCCGGCGATGATATTGGTCCGGAATCGCTCCACCCATCTTCTCGGGCGGTCTCGGGAGTGAGTAAACAGGAAATTTTGTTTTTTCTCTCAGGAGATGATTAGGGGGAGAAAAGGTTTTGAGGAAAGTACTGTACCGGTACTCGAGCACATGATGTATGTACTGTACTGTGAGAATTTACTGCACAGTACGTGTTCTTGCGAGAAGAACAGGATACGTTGTGTGGGTACCTGTACTGTACAGGCGTAATGAGCGGGAAAGAAGGAACTGAAGCGGTAGTCGCGCCTGGGCAGCAGCAGATACCAATAGGTGGCAATTTGTAGCAACTAATAACACCTTACAGGAGGATACTCAGGTTTGGTTATGGCGTTGGTAACTTACCCTGTTCCAAGATAGCAGGTAGGTTAAACGTTTCCAGTGCTTCGTACCATAAAGAGGGTTTGACGTTCCTATTTGACGTCATGCGCCAAGGGGAAACCATCGCCCAGGTTTGTTCCCTTGCTTGTTGATGGAATTCGGCTCCTGTCCTTTTTCTTCTTCTTCATGATCGAATATTATGGCCCAAGGGATAGTACGAGGGGATGAGGAGGAGAACACGGTGTTGGGGGGAAGGAAATACAGTACCTATTTCATTGGCAGAGGTTGATCTGGCTAGAGTAAACGCCAACCGGCCCCGTTTTCGTACCGATAATGTTATCATATGGCCGAGTAGGACTGCGGGATGGTTGATACGTAGGGGGAGGAGCTCAAGGTGGGGACGCACCCTTTACTTTTGTTTCCTGTCCAAATTCCGGTGCGGAATCCATCTTGCCGCTTGTTTTCTATTCATCTCTCTCTCTCTACCTCCTTCACCTTCTTTTCTTCGCTTCCCTCTTGCTCTCATCATCCATCTCCCCTCCGTCTTGACAAACATCCTCACATTTTCACCTGTCACACACACCTGCTGCATTCACCACACCACTATCTTTCACCACTACCCGCAGCGGGAGATTAAAAAAAAGGAAAAAGACCGAAAAAAAAAGAAGGAACCTATCTCTGCGGGCTTTCTTTCTACCCATCTCTTATAATTCAGCCTTTTTGTTGCTGCATATTGCCCTGTCAATTTTTGCTGTTTTTTCTGGTGGCTGCTTGGTACTTGTAAGTCTCAACTGCCCCCATAGACACTGCCCCCAAAGCATACATCTATATTCCACTCGTCCATTTTTCCCCGGGTTACTCCCAGATATTTTAGAAAACCATTCCCGCCGGAGGTGAAATCACATCACTACACGCAGTTTCGCTGACCTTTTCAGTCTTTTAGAAGAAAAAAGAAAAGAAAAAAAGAGCAGCGAGAAGTCATTGAGAACACTCACGGTACGAAATGTCTGAGGCACCGGAAGGCAGAAGAGATGTCAAGAACCACCTTCTGTTCGAGATTTCTACAGAGGTTGCAAACCGGGGTATGTTGGTTCTCATCGTCAATTCCCTAGTGCAATCGATATAGGTTCTAATCTGAATCGAACCTTCATAGTTGGCGGTATCTATTCCGTCATAAAGTCTAAAGCGCCAATCACTACTGCTGAGTATGGCGAGCGTTACTGCCTTATCGGCCCCCTCAACCGTACTTCTGTGCGTTCTCAAACACCCTCTCGCTCCTCTTCTCCTTTTTATCGTTCATTCCCCGTGCCTTGTTCCCCCCCGCCGCCATATTGGCACCCATACCCCCCTAAAGAGGCTACCCATTATCCACTATCTCGTCCACTTTGCCCACCAGCATCACCACTAATATCAGACTATGATGTTCTTTCACAGGCTGCGGTTGAAGTTGAAGCTCTTGAGCCGACCAATCCGGCACTAAAGGCCACCCTCGCTGCTATGAGTGATCGAGGAATTCAATGGCTGTACGGTAGATGGCTTATTGACGGTGCCCCAAGGGTGCTTCTTTTTGATACAGGTACTGGGTATAAGCACTTGGACGAATGGAAGGGGGATCTGTGGAGTACAGCCGGGATCCCATGCCCACCGGGCGATGCCGAGACCAATGAGGCTGTCGTGTTTGGCTACCTAGTTGCCTGGTTCCTTGGAGAGGTATGTGCCCGGTTCCATGCAGGAACCCGACTTGGCTGACCTTTCCGTAGTTCGTCAGCCACGAGCAATCCCGTGCAGTTATTGCGCATTTCCATGAGTGGCTCGCCGGTGTGGCTCTCCCCCTTTGCCGCAAGCGAAGAATTGATGTTACAACTATCTTCACAACTCACGCTACACTGCTCGGAAGATACTTGTGCGCTGGATCCGTTGATTTCTACAACAACCTTCAGTATTTCGATGTGGATGCTGAAGCGGGCAAGAGAGGGATCTACCACCGTTACTGTATCGAGCGTGCAGCAACCCATTCTTGTGATGTCTTCACTACAGTTTCTCATATCACGGCTTACGAGAGCGAGCACCTGCTCAAACGCAAACCGGATGGCGTTTTGCCCAATGGATTGAACGTTGTAAAGTTTTCGGCGATGCACGAGTTTCAAAATCTCCATGCCCAGTCCAAGGAAAAGATTCATGATTTTATAAGGGGTCATTTTTATGGTCATAACGATTTTGATCTAGAAAATACTCTCTACTTCTTCACAGCAGGGCGTTATGAGTATCGCAATAAGGGGGTTGACATGTTCATTGAATCGCTAGCTCGGTTGAACCACCGTCTGAAGATCTCTGGGTCAAAGACCACCGTCGTTGCATTCATTATCATGCCGGCTCAGACACACTCTCTAACTGTTGAAGCTTTGAAAGGCCAGGCTGTTATCAAAGCACTGCGGGACACTGTGGATAACATTGAGAAAGGGATTGGGAAGAGGCTGTTTGAGCGTGCGTTGAGGTGGCATGATGGAGAACAAGTTCCGGCTGAGAAGGACCTCATGAGCAATCAAGAAAAAGTCATGCTGAAACGGCGAGTGTATGCTCTGAAGCGAAATGCTCTTCCACCGATTGTCACGCACAACATGGTGAGAGATGGGGTACCCTCAATTATTTCGTTGCGATGTTGCCTCAAGAAGGTATTATATACTGACAGGTTTGTGTTGCCTTAGATTGATGACCAAGCCGACCCTATTCTTAACCAAATCCGGAGGGTACAACTGTTCAACCATCCCTCCGATCGAGTTAAGATCGTTTTCCATCCCGAGTTTTTGAATTCATCGAACCCCGTTTTGTCGCTTGACTACGATGACTTTGTTCGCGGGACCCATCTTGGAGTTTTTGCATCCTACTACGAACCTTGGGTGAGCCGAGCATCTCTAATTTGGCTTGGGGAAAACACTAATTATTGTAACGTAGGGTTATACTCCTGCCGAATGCACTGTCATGGGTGTACCGTCGATCACGACCAATCTTTCTGGTTTTGGGTGCTACATGGAAGAATTGATCGAAAATGCATCTGACTATGGTATCTACATTGTGGACCGCCGAATGAAGGGAGTCGATGACAGCGTCAACCAGCTTTGCCAGTTCATGTACGATTTTACTGTTAAAAGCAGGAGGCAGAGGATCAACCAAAGGAATAGAACTGAGCGATTAAGTGATCTCTTGGACTGGAAGAGGATGGGCATGGAATATGTTAAGGCAAGGCAATTAGCCTTGAGAAGAGGTAGCTTGCTCCGGCTAGTAGTAACTACAACGGGACTAATTAGGGATTTTTTTTTTTAGCCTACCCCGGTTCGTTCGATTCTAAGGAACCATTCCCATTCTTCGACGGTACGGAACAAAAGGTTTCACGTCCCTTGTCTGCTCCTGGCTCCCCAAGAGACCGCTCCGGCATGATGACCCCTGGAGATTTCCCGTCATTGCAGGAAGGAATGGAAGGATTGAATACAGATGATTACGTTGGTTGGAGATTGCCGTAAGTGCCGAAACCGATCCAATCCGATAACAGAAAGCCTGTGTTAACGCCTTTGGGATGTTTAGCGAGGAGGAGGATCCTGATGATTATCACTTCCCCTTGACCCTCAGAGCACCTCTTACCAAGAGACAACAGCCATCTGTTAATGGCGAACATAACAGCTAGGATGGGGAACACCCTGGCGCACCGTTTGGGGGTGGCGAAGCAGAGTGAGCAATGAACCTAAAAAAGAAAGGCAGGTTGGCACTCAAGAATACCGCCTTTTACTGCACTGTTTCTATGGGTATTGGCCGAGGCGGGTTGAGGAAAGTGATGCCATTCCGTATAATTGTATTTCTAGTGATCAAATGTTTCGTTTGTCAGATACTTCATTGTTTGATATCGGACTTCTTTTTTTTCCTTTTTTTTCCCTTTCTTTCCATGATTTCTTCCCTAAAAAAGACCACTAGATGAACTACTGTTGGTAGCTAGCAAGCGCGAGTGGGTCTGTGGATTGCAGTGGATGAGGAAGGATGATGGTCGAACCATGGTATGATACCTTGATACTCCACGAGAGATACTCCACGAGATGTTCCTTTCGGGGGTAACGGATGTAGTACGTACTAAGGAACGGGAGGTAATCTACGTATATAGGCAGAGCAACGTGTCTGCGCCTGAGTAAGCGTTATCGATGTTGCTGTGTATCTTGTCTGTTGGTTTCTGTTTGCGCTCTGGTGTCGAGCTGTTTCTATTTAGCTTACCCGAGTGATATTTTGTGAATATCCATTCTTAAGCGCTCGATGAATAAATTTATTTTTATTTTTTTGGAGGGGGATGTATTATAGTATGATACTTTTTATTACTGTGTCTGATCCGTAGCGGGTCTGTATTGTTGTAGGTTATGGCTAGGTATTTTGTCATTAATTTCAAACAAAGTTGATTAATCCTCAGTCACTCTTTCCGGGATCATTGAATGTGCATAGGAATCTCGTATTTCATTCGGCATAGCCATGACCATCACACCAAAAAAGTCGTTCCAGGTTTGGGCAAGATGCAGGCTGTTGTCGACGAGTCGCCATTCCAGAGCCGAAATATGATACAAGGATATTATCATACCGCCCTCTCTCACAAAGCTGATTCTCAGTGAGCAATTTCCTTTCGGGAAAGTAGTGATGAGTTTGGCGCCTACCTGTGCCACCACCGCGATGGAGAGAGAGACTCCCGATTTTGCTCGTCGCAGCGCACGTTGGCTTCCTCAAACCGTTGCCGATAGCCACCAGCGGGGGGTTCTCGTGTCTCGGGGTCATGATAGATAGATAGATAAATTTAGGTTATCCCCAGGGCTATGATACCGGCACCTCCGCAGAGTCAAATGACAGGATATATCACACGTGCACGTTGGGTAAACGTTCTTGGAAATTATTTTGAAACATGTTTGGTGCAGTAGAATAGGGTACTGGGGCGGCTTCATAGCTACAAGAGCCAGATAAATTTGAAAACAACGAGTCATCGTATGAATATTGGATGAAAGGCTTAAATCTGACCCCACGCCATCTCCAGCGTTTGAACAGATTCCAGGAGAGGTTTTCGGGGTTCTGTGCGAACGTGCTTCTGGAGATTTTATACGTACAGTAGGGTAGGGTTGTGCGCTCGGGTTAAACTGGGACGCGATCTATCGGCGGCACTCGTGCTGAGCGAGCTCCAGGTTCCAAGCCGCAGTCCGGTTTTGGCGGAAGGCGGAAGGGAAAAAGGGAAATCCTCTCTCCCTCTCTCGGGCTTATTTTTGCCCCGCGTAATCGTTTATCAGAGTGGGGCAAATAGCTCCTTTTCATCTTTCTTTTCCCTTTTTTTTTTTTTCTTCCGCACTTTTGAGAATGAGGTTGACATGTCAGGGCTCAGGAAGGATCGAAGGAATATCTAGTGAAAGGAATTCGAGTCAGCGACCTTGAGTGAGTGATTACGGTATCGGCTTTCGACGATACCGAAGAGCAAGTGGAAGAAAGAGGTGGTTGGTTGGTGGCCAACTTGACCGACTAGGCAAGTATCATCAGAATAAAGAATAAAATTAAAACCTCTAAAGAGACTGAAAACCTAGAAAATCTCCCTACTCGCCGTGAAGCTTGAGTATTGCTTGCGGCAGGACTGGGTGATATCCCACACCCACCTGCCCCGGCACTCCTTCCGCACAATATAGCAGTACGAGTTACAGTATCACAACTTGGACCACGCGCTCTAAATCGAGAATATATAGCGTAACAACCTCCCGTTCCGATCTTATCCAATGCTGAGCACGAAATCCTTCATATCATTATTCCTCATGTATACCCCCCCCCCCCCAAACGAGAAAATACCGAGGGGGAAATGGCAGTGCGTCGGTGTGTACCACATCATAGCACAACAAGTGTGCGACAGTGCGGCAGCGAGTGATAGCACGGGTACCTATGATACTGTATTGAATATAAAGAGCGGCTAAACAGTGAAATCCCTCAGCATTTCTAAAAAAAAATAAAGTTTACACCGAGGAATGAATTAACTTACCTTCACCAGCTTTTTTTTTTTTTTTTTTTTTTCTTCTTCAGAGAATATATATACACCCTCCACTCATGTTCAGGGCGGTTGTGAATTCCTTCACAACCGCACTCGCGGCTTCAGCTCGACCGCTATCTACAGATACCGTGCACAGTATCGTACGTGGCGGGGCTCTAATGGGACGGGCCGGCGGTGGGTCGTCCGTCCGGCCCTCCCGGGCGGACGCCGTTAGATTACCTCAGATACAGGAACTTGGATTTCTAGATGTGTAGGATCCCGGTGAGCGGCGACGGACGGGGCTTGTATCATACTCGTACAAATAATTGGGCGCAAGAGTTACCGAGGGTTAGACTAATGGGCAGGCACCCACTAAATGTGGCACTTTGGACGCCAGTCTCAGCATGCGACTCCCTGCCCGGGGCGCTTGGAATCACTGTGCTTAGGGGGCGGGCTGGGGCCATGCATGTACAGTACGATACAATTCCCCACACTTGCTTTAAATATTCCCACCAGCTAGATAATTACTACGTATCTAAACCTAGTAAAGCAGAACTGCAAGGGATCAAAGCTGTGTCCATAGTCTAGTTTTCAATTGTGTTGACCACTCCGAAAGTGACCTAAATTTTTGTGTGATATGGGGCGCCATACAAGAAGGTACTGTACAGTACTGTACTGTACATGGCAACCAAATATCATACCTCAGACTTAAACAACATTCCCTCCACCTTATTGCCATGATTAAAAATTCTGTAATTTCCTCCGTGTTGTCTGCAGGCTCACCGATGCACTGCTGGATTTTGTTTGGCAAATTCTCATCGGCATTGGGCTGTGAGAGGGTGAAGGTTGATACTTTTGGTGTGAAAAGGGCAAACCGCGAAACGTTTTGTCCTAATACAAGTACTTTAGATGGCAAATATCCTTGCAAATGACTTCCCACATCAGTCTCCTCGTCGGTCGGTGATCAATGCTTGACAAAACCTAACACTACTACTCCGCAAAACCAACCCGACTCAAACAGCGGAAGCTACACCATCCTAAAACAACTCTACTAGCACACTAAAGGCTTGGGAGATGCCGATAACATCTCAAAATATCATTATCATAAAACTAACAGTGACTCGTTTTTACTCATACATCGCCGAGAAGACCCATAACGTAGAAGATTTCGAAGAGTGAAGCGTGCTACTCTTCGTCCTCATCACCACCTTCTTGCTCCTCCGCTTCCATCGAAGGGACGGCGCTTGTCTCCCTGCCAGTCTCGCTCGCGAGATCATCTACCCTCGGAGGCCTCGTCATGACAATAGTATCATCCCCCTCCTCGTCATCCGAGGCCTCTCCTGCAGTCGCCTCGCCAGCTACAGCCTCCGTTTCGTCTCCTGTAGCTGCCAGCTCGTCTCCTGTAGCCTCCGTTGCACCGTCCCGCTCCAGCTCACTGACAATCTTCCCTAACGAAAGCTCCAGCTTATTGAGTGCATTCCTGGATGGCGCATCCGTGGCAACTTTATCCCCGATCGCCTGGGCGACAAGATCATACAACTCCCTGAGCTTTTCGGGAGTGGCTTCAGCTGGTATATAAAGCTTTCCGAGCATTGTGCATAGCACTTTTTTCTCCTCCTTGTTGCAGCTGCTGCTACTGACGCGTTCCAAGGTATCTATGGCGAGGTCAACGTGCACATTTGGGTCGACAATCCTTTCTTCGATGCCGCCGCGACCTGCCTGAACCCCCCCGCCAACATTCTTGCGGGGGTCGGTCCAGTCGACCATCTGTGAGGCTGTAGTGGTGATTGAGACCATTTCTTCCTCTTCGCCCAGATTCTCACGGATCAGGAGCAGTTGGTGAATAGTGTTTACCGTTATCTACAGATGTTAGTTATGTTCTTGCGATGAGGAAGTGTAGTGGTGAACCTTCTGCATTCTTGTTTGATTTTCAGGGCGGGAGTGGCAGTAGACTGGTAGGAAGTATGTTAGGATTTGACGAAGGCTTTGGTTATCTACCGTTGCCGAATCGAAATACGCGACTACAAGTACTTTGAGTAGCTAATAAAAACCGGTCAGAACCTCCCTTGAAACACCAATTGGAGCTTTACCTCTTCGTCTTTGATGACCTGTGCAAGCATCAATTTGCAGACCACTTCTGTAGCAGTAGCCTGTACCTCTGGTACTTCGTCAAATTTCAATGCTTTTGCAAACATTCTGTAGAGAACCCTTTGCTCCACTTCGCAGCTATCTCCCTCAAAGATCGCGGAGCCATGGGTAACCAAAATATCCGACATGATATGAAGCGCTTCTATTTGCAGTGCCTCGTGGCCCCTGTTGAAGCAATGAGCGAAGAGAGTAAGATTCTCTTCAGCAAGTGTCTTTGACTAGGTTAGCAAATGGATCGACAGAATCTTGGAGGAGATAACTACCTTGTCTAAAAGACAACTCAACCCCAAGCATCTAAGTCCACGTTCCCTTACCGGTGCCTCATGACTCCGCACAGCAGGAACAACTAGACCATTCAACATGGTTACAAGATGGGTATTCTTCTTCAAACTTCCCGACACATTTTCAAGCATACATTGAGCAATGTGAAGGCACTTTAGGTTAATCATGAGCTCCTTCACAGCTTTTGCTTCTTCGTCCTCGTCCTCTCCCTCTCCTTCTTGCTCTTCTTCTCCATTCCCCTCAACACCATCGATATCCATCACGTCCGTATCCTCATCTCCATCGGCAGGCCTGCTCCTAGATCTTTTTCTGGCTGATAGAGCGGCTTTCGCTACCGGGGTACTAGCTTTTACAGAAGGCACCCTGACAGTGATAGCATCCTCAATGCCATCATCACTGACGTCGCTCTTCGCTGAATGAAAGCTTTCGTCGGCAGCCCCAGCCTCGTCTTCATCGTCGGCGATTCGATCATGTACCTCTGCAATGACCTCCAAGATTAACATGCAAAAATCGCCCTCGCCCATACTAAGTTTAGCAAGACATTCAGTTATCAATTTAGTAACGCCTTCAGGTAATTCAGGTATGGCGAGACTCTCGCGAAGCAGGGCAAACATCTTTCTCCGTCCAATTTCATCTCCATAGTCCATCCTCGAAGCAATCATCAGAAGTTGCTCGGCAACAAATTCCCAAGTAGCTGCTTCCGCATCTTCGCTCTCTAGGGCGACAACAAGCTTATTCAGATATTTTTGGAGGTGAAGTGCTAGCTTTGTAACCTCAGGCATTTTTTCGTCAATTTCCCCTGCCTCTCTCTGAGCACTCGGAAGATCTCTGCAGTAATCGTTGTAACTCCGAGCCAGAAATGCAGACTCTGCTGTAAGATCTTCCCAAAATTCATCGCCGAAGGTAATTTTCTCAACAAAGTCCTTCCTCTCCTCCCAGAAGCCTCTCAACGCGAGTTCCTTAACTCCGCCTTGAGGGCCGTCGCTAGTAACATCCAAGCGCTCAAGGATTTCGATTACATCGCCATCGACATCTTCAAGCCAGCGGTAGTTGAACATACGTCTTGCAGCTTCACGGACAGACTCATCACGGTCATTAAGACCCCATCGAAGCAGCTTTTCACGCATCCCAATAGAAAGGTGACGGAAATCGCCAAGGCCGGGAAGGAGGCGCGTGAAAACCGAACGGCGGGTTACTGGATCGGTATCACGGGTTCGTTCAAGGAGGTAAGGAAGTGTCTCGGGGGTAGGGTTGATATTATACAAAATTGTACGCCGAACATCTCTAGCAGCAATATCAGTACAAATACCACCAAAGACGCAAATGACATAACAGCAGATACTCACGCGCTGGGATCATTTTGCATAGTTTCAATCAAAGCAGCCAACACATTACCATCCCCCTCCTCGTCACCGCCCTCACTATCATCCTCACCCGTTCCAACACCCATTTCTAGTAATTTTATCACGCCGACTACTGCCTGAACTCGAACAGGAGTTTCTTTATCCTTGATGCGCTTCAAGAGCTCGGATCTCAATTGCTTGAATATAGCGTTCGACTTTGTAGAGTAGTCATAAGGAAATTCTGGTAATGCGTTGGCCAATGAAAGCGAGAGAAGCTGTGTGGTACGATATCGGACCGTTTTCTCTCTCGAAGATATCAACGGCAAGAGGTAAAAGATGAATCGAAGAACGAAGCGAATTGCAGGTGTTTCTTCAACAGCCCCTTCTTCACCTTCTATCATTTGCTCATCTTCACCGTCTTTCTTCTTAGGTTTATCTGCCCAAGCGGGTCGCTTAATTAGCACCGAGGACTAGCAAATTTCATGGACCTTCAGATAATACCGACCTTTATCAAGCAGCCCCCTCACGAATAAGTCTATGAATCTCAAGCATCTATCTCCCACAACCTCACTTTTCTTGGTCACAAGAACCCTATTAAGGAAACTAGTGAATCCTTTGACAAAGGCCTTTTCTCCAACCCTTCCCCCACCGATGGACGTGCCCAGGGACCCAGTGCCTGCTGCACACTGTTCCCAAATAGACCGCATCGTAATTGCCAATTTCCTGTGACCAGCTGTAGTCTTCTGGGCCGATTGAAATATAGTTGCAATGGCATCTTGAAGCGGAGTATAAGTTGCTGGTGGTGGGCTAGGTTCAAGTGCTGGAGATGTGGTAGCTGGAGTTTCCTCGGCGGCGGCGGGGGCTCGTTTTCGTGGGGCTCGCGTACGAGCAGATCGTGAGCCAGCTACTCGAGCAGGCATTGAAATAATAATTAAGGCGACTTACTCTAAGTGGATTTCAAGGTTGGAGGGGTATGAGGTGCAAGACGGTTTTCGTTTGTTTTCTGATTCCTATTGCCAAAATAAGAGGGCAAAATAAACACAAGAAAGTTATTAACCGTTTGTTGTGGCAACCCCTATCTAATCAGATTGTTCCACATCCAGATTATCAGATAATATTATACACAAAATTCTGATAATCCCAACTTAGACTATTTATCACTTTCAAAATCAATCGATGCGAAATTAGTTAAAACCCCCAAGAGCCGCGTGGTCTCCAATCTCGTGCGTGCATTCGCCCCACCTTCCGCTTCCCTCTATTTGTCTACTACTTTTCTCGCCATTTCTCATTGCTTCCCTTCCACACCACCACCCCTCCTCTTCTTCCGCTTCCTCTTTTTCCTCACACCATGTTCCGTTTCGGTCTCCGCCGTTTTGCAACGGCTGCTGAAGCTGCTAGCCCCTATGGAATCAAAGTTTCAAAAGCCCAAGGCAGTGTGAATGGATTTGTTGGAGGTTTGTCAATCCCCAGCCATCGGCAAATTCGTAATTCCAAATCCGAAACTAACTCGACAGCTATCGGAAACACACCTTTAATACGGCTCGGCAGACTCAGTGAGGAAACTGGTTGTGATATTTATGGAAAGGCAGAGTTCATGAACCCAGGTGGCTCAGTAAAAGGTACGTCCCCCTCCAGCTCAGCAGATATTCCCTCTGATAATACATTAATGACATCCAAAATATAAAAATCCCAGATAGAGCAGCACTGTACGTCGTTAAGGATGCCGAGGAGAAGGGCCTTATCAAGCCAGGCGGAACCATTGTAGAAGGAACTGCAGGGAACACGGGGATTGGCCTCGCGCATGTTTGCCGGTCGAAAGGTCAGCCCAATTTCTTGCAATTGGTGATACTGAAGATTTAAGCTGATCTTCAAACAATCAAAGGGTATAAATGCGTAATATATATGCCCAACACCCAGTCACGAGGGAAGATAGACCTTCTCCGATTACTGGGCGCTGAGGTATTCCCTGTACCAGCCGGTAAGATGCGTATTTGGCAGAAACTATTCCAAGGCACACTCCTAACACCCTCTTAGTAGCTTTTGAGAACCCTGAGAACTATAATCACCAGGCCAAACGCCACGCTGGTGAGTTTCTATCACTTCCCTCTCAACCCCAATCCTAAACTTAACTTTCCTTAGAAAAAACCGAGAACTCAGTTTGGACAAACCAGTTCGATAATGTTGCGAACCGTCGTGCCCATATTGAAACAACAGGTCCGGAGATCTGGGCCCAGCTCGGCGGCAAACTCGATGGCTTCACCTGCGCAACTGGTACTGGCGGAACACTTGCAGGCGTTACGCGCTACCTCAAAGAAGTTTCTGACGGCCGCACTGAATGTTGGCTTGCCGACCCTCCGGGCTCAGTCCTCTTCTCCTACATCACTTCCGGTGGAAAACTCAACGAACGCACTGGGGGGTCTATCACTGAAGGGATTGGCCAAGGGCGCGTAACAGACAACCTCAAACCCGAGATCAAACTTATCAATAACGCATTACATATCTCAGACGAAAAGTCCATCGCAATGGTCTACAGACTCCTCGATGAGGAAGGATTATACATGGGTGCTAGCAGTGCCTTAAATGTTGTAGCAGCTTACGAGCTTGCAAAGAAGCTAGGCCCTGGCAAAAGTGTAGCCACTATACTATGCGATGGTGCCTATAGATACGCTGATAGGCTCTTCAGCAAGAAATGGTTAGATTCCAAGGGCCTGTACGAAGCGATCCCAGAGCACCTAAGGAAGTACATTGTGTTGGAATAGGGCCGTACAGTAGATAGAATAACAGCGTCTACCAATGGTGGATACACTGGGTAGATAGAGGTTTGTAGATAGTATATTTGAGGGTGGTAGCGTTTGTCCCAACAGCGCCCAACGAATACATTTGAATTCTCATTCAAACGGAGAAAGCTAGAATCACAAATTATCACTCGACTTATCAGGATGCTTCAAAGGCTGTAAAGAGGCTCCCTGGGTCAGGTTCTGCTCCCCAATGAAGCGTCCCGTATGTCCTTCACACAAAATCAACCAACTCCCATAAAATCCATAATAACCCCTTAAAAAATCGACATCGGATGTGCTTTCGCCAAGTGAAATATTTCACGGATTCCCCGGGGACGAATTCTTGACATTTAGTAATTTCGGATTACTATTCTATTATTTCTACATTTAGCTTTGCTTGATTTTTTGTGTTATCTTTTCCTTGGCCCAGTCTTCACGTTGCCCCCTCCCCCCGCTGATGCCGTCATAACGTAACCAAGATGGGGAGAATTCTAACACGCGCGTGCCGGAGATTCGGTCCAACACCATTCCTCGGACCAAAGATTTGACGTGTAATACCTCCTTGTGAATGAGCCATGGCCACATTGAGAGGTAGGTGCATCTAGGGTTCGTCGAGACCCCCGTGGTGGAAAATTACCGACATGTTTTGGTGAATGCGTCGATGCCTCCCCTGCCAATATCAATATATATCATACCACGGATGTAATATATCACCATGCCGACACAACCCCGCCAGACCCTTCAACCCGTAAAACCAGAAAAAAAGTCGCATAATCGTCAACGCAAGCATATCAAAACCTCCACCAAGCCGGTAGCTTCGAACAATTCTGAAGGTACGGGAATTTGAAGGGGGGGCGAAATAAGGTCGTGGGTTCTATCCCGAAGTAGGCTTGATCTCGGATTGCTAATTATAAACGAATGGATGCTTTTTTGTACTGTGCTCAGGTGCCTGAGGTGGCTCTCACTCGTGGGTGTGGGGCGTCGTGGTGGGTCGTTTGGTGGTGATGGGGGAATTGATAGTTTAGAATGTATACTATCGACGTAGAAGGCCATAGGTGGCATCTATCGAACGTAAACAGGTTCGAATTGCGGATATATAGGTCAGAAATGGCCCGGAGACTGGTGTCATTGGGCTGCAGGCGCAAGACTAGCCATCATACGAATGAAGCAAAAAAGGTTTTCCAACTCGCTTGAGGTCCCAAGGAGCCCGTGCTAGTCTGATATGATAACGCCGCAGAGCCCCCCAGACATGAGCATGATAATGAATTCACCGCTGATAGCTGATGCCCCTCCGAATAGTAAGTAGACTTACCACTTTGTAACATTGAAATCGGATCCAACACCCCCAATCTCGGCATCCGACTCCCCAAACTTCAAGTTAGCAGTATCCGCTTTAATCTCCCCAAAACCCCTTTCCATCACCCCGACAGACCTCTTTCGAAATCTCCCAAGATCCTGCCATCACGGTCCCTAGTTAATATTTATCATTAAATTTTATGAACACGGGCTATACCTTGCTCAAGCAATCGGCACGGCCATCCAACTGGCTTAAATGTGTCGGTTTGTTTCCTGTCGTGTTCGAGAAAGCAGCGGGGTTGAAGCCCAGCCTGGATAGCAGTGCTGCGACTTATCCCCGAGCCCGCCAGGGGCAGGGGGAAAGGCACTGGAGAAACCAGGGACGTAGAGAGAGCTATCATAATATTATCATAGTCCAAAAACTCTTTCTCTCCCTCCCCGGCAGTTGAGAGCACAAGGACATTAAATTTTTATCCTTTGCGCAGACATTTTCCCCTCTGCGTGCCCCAATACCAGTACGATACTCCCCCCCCCACTAAGTTCCAGTACTCGAGCGCCACCGGTAGACTACTGTAGTACGAGTATGTGCCGCCAAACTTCACTCGCAGTGTTCCAGGCTAATTCCTGTGCCCGGGACGTTCCCAATAATACCGGCACCGGTACTGCATATTATTCTTCCATATTTACCCACAAGACAGTTTATTATTCGTAGCTTGACCCCCTAACCATCCTTGGTAAGCAAGGATTACCCCCATAAACAAGTTTTGCTAGTACCGGTATTGAAACTTTTACGGTAACTTATGGGAATACTTGTTCACTATTTGTGCTTGTTCTGCGCGTTCATAATGTGTATTCACAGTACTTGTTCTGCTCACTCTGTCCAGAAAACAAGAGGAATGAGAGGTCCCAATACATTTCTGAGATGCTCGTCCCCACAAAGAAAACCCTGCACAGTCCCCCCACTAGGATTTTGAAAAACATCATAATAATAATTATCATATATCATAGCTCTATTTTCTATCCCCACAGTAACTTTCTTTGTTTCAAGCATTACGTTATGTGGAATGTTCTTGAACTCCGAAAAACAAAAAAGCACTGTTAATTGCCAAGAAGAGCCAAATTTTGGGAGACACATAGCCAAACCCGTTTGTGCGAGTACAGTAACCCTTGGTTAGACTAACCAATCCCTGACGCTTGTGAACCAGCGGGAGAACCAGCCAAGCTCTAAGAATTTTGGTGTTTTGTCGATTTTTAACAAACTTCGGGGAACTACGAGCCCCGGCAGCTGCTTAGACGACTTTGTATCATACCCGTCCACAAGCTAGACTATGCGCCAGGTCATAATGCACTTGCAGCCTCCGGAGGAAGTGGCTACCAGCGGCTATTCACCCGAGAGGGCCGGAAGGAAAAAGGAACCTAAAGTTCCGCAAAGAGGCATCCGAGGCCACTTTCAGACCTCATCGCAAAGCAATCTATCACCCGCAGATATTGGACCGTGAGACCTGCTACATCCAGGCAATGTTCTCAACCGGGCTGAACTAGAAGCCATTGGCAGCAGCACTCCCCAGCAGCACACTCGAGAGAGGGCTTTGCAGATCCAAGAGCCAGAGTGAACCAGCAAGGGATGAGAGGCAGGAGGTGCTCGAGTAAATATATACTTGTACCGCAAGTCCACCACGCGACCTCATCCCCCATACGGCTGCAAATGGACCACTATACGATCACGATGACGGCACTACAATCGTCCAAACAGGGGAAGGAAAAAGTCAGGAATTTAGGCCCCGGTAGTGTTCAAACGCTCCCGCATAACGACCACGAAGCCCGCATATCAGTCAGTATGTATTGATCGGAGGACATGAATTATAGTGACTTGCAGTTAACAATACGAGTAGAGAATTACTATGTATCCAGGTAATTTGGTTAGATTAATTTACGTCTTATCATGCTCACACTGCTCGTTGTGAGACAAAATAACGCCCCTTTTTGTCGGGCAATGCTTCCCGCACCGGGACTGTATCACACAATACGGATACAGTATCATACTGCACCTATCAATAGGTCAATGGCCGGCAACATGCAACATTCTCTTCCAACTGTCAACCACCGGGAAATGTGACACACACCCGCCAAGCTATGCCAAGCGACTGCCCCAACTCTTCGGCTATAAATTGGTCGTCCCTCCCCCCCGCTTCGCTCCGTCCTCTCTCCTCCTCCACATACCCCACCTCAAGTGTCGCTTTGTTTTTTTTTAAAAAAAATTCTTCTGATGTTTCCGTTTCTGTTTCTTGCTTTGATGAGCGACTCATTTGGAAAACGACTGACAAACTTGTGCTCAGACTCCTTCTGTAGATACGCCACAAGTGTTCAGCGGTCATCCTTCACGGATGTACTCGATGTCACCTTCTGCTAGTTCCGGACGAACCCTTGGTTCTCCCACAATACCCCCCCCCGCCGTAGCCGTCAGGGCTCGGAATCTATACAATCAACACAACCTAGGTAGCACTCCGGTCGCCCGGTAGTGTTTTACATTTTTAAGTCCAGTTATCAGCTGGCAACGGTTAACGGCATTGCTTATCAGCTTCGTCGTCGTTTTCCTCGCGGTCTTCATGTTCTTTCGAGCATGAAGCCATGGGGTTGGTTAAGGAGTTTTTTTTTTTTTGATGCCATCACTACAGTCAGAGGATCGGCAAGAAGAATATTATTCCTATACCCGCTCGGGGGTCTTTCCGAGCCTGAAATAAAAATATAAAACTCCATTAAAACACTTCCTCCGGGAAGGAAAAAAAAAAAAAAAGTATGTTTCCCTCTGCCAACACCCCAAACAATCCTCTTCCTATCGTAGTTGACTAACGAATGGCATATTAGGACAACTGACGTTTTGATGTGTTCTGATTCGCGCGCATTCAATGCCAAACGTCTCGAATAAATATATGAAGGAATCATGTAGGTTTCCCCTCCATTTCTCATCAAGGTTTTTTTTTCCTTTCTGCTTGCTTGCTTTATTTATTTCTCTTTGCGCACTTGGACACTTGAGGTTGGGCTGGGAAGCGTTTGTAATTTAGATGATATTATGGAAGAGAGGATTATGAATAAACGTGTCGGGGGGAGGAGAGTGCACCCCATACAAATTCAGGAAATTGTGGCAAAGTTGTACTAGTACTTGTGCTCCACTCACGTCCCCCATCATACAAAGTAACTTGGCCAACTAAACGCTTGCATCTCCTATGTTGTCTTGCTGCCTTATCTGGGGAGCATTCAAGCAGATTTATGGCCACCGAACCTGATCAGACGCCAGCATGCTGTATGGGTATAGTACTAGTACAGGTACCGGTACTTGCACAGGATGAAAGTGGCACGCAGCCTACTTGGCTGCTGATGGTACAGTTCTGTGGCCACAATGCGATCTAGATATGCCACAGTACCATCCATTCAAATGGTAATAACCTTTTTAAGTTTTTAACATAGCTCATGTGCCATAGAACCAGCACAAAATTAAAAGAGCGCAGTAAGTTACCGGCAGAGAGGCAAGCCGGTGATGTATCACCTCCCGCAGCGACAAACGGCAGACAGGTTGATACCACGATAGAACCCTACGAGAAAAATGAATACCGCGCGGCACGAGACTGTGCACCCCTCCCCCCTCAACACGACCACTCAGGAGCACGCGCGTTCGGAGTCTTTGAGATTCTCGGGAAAATTCCTCAAGCCCCGCTCGCATTGGAATTCACGGTACGTCACTCGCCTAAGGCTATTATAGGTCAAGCAATCAAGACTTGAGACGAGGGTCGTGAGATTATAGGGGGGAGGGGGTTCCGAACTTCCGATGTCGTTCCCCGAACCCGACGGTGTGGCAATGGTGTGTAGTCTAGATGTTCATAACCAAGAATTAATTTTTTCCTCTCTCTCTCCATGACGGGAATCTGATGCGCGGATATCTTTACGATGCTGCAGCGTGCCGGTAGTCTATGATATTGCTCCGCTGCTATTGTAGGGGCGCTCACTGCACTTGTCTTGTATGGTTAGGGTACCGCATCGGTAGGGTTGTGTTTTAACCGCGTTTGAATCCATCCATCCCATTACTGTATCCCAGGATCAGCAGAACATGCCGGGGATAGCGGCGCCACCTGCCAATGCCGATTTTTTACTTTAATCGTACTCGTACAGTACTTACTGTGCTAAGGGGGTGGCCATGTTGGAAGGGACGAATACAAATGCAGCTTACCAAGGATTGAAGAGAAGAAAGCAAGGGAGTATTTACCGGTATGGAAGACACTCCGGTATCACATCGATAGACACAGTAGTCTACCGGTAGGCCAGGTGTACAATACGAGTACTTGACCTAGTACTGTACTGTACTGTACTCAAGTATTTCAGAAACCCCTTTTTTCCACTTTCTGCTCTTTTCGAACTCGAAGAGAGGTACGCTTCGTTTGTCGTCCAATCGTGTCGCGAGAATTTTTCACCAAGGTTGCCCAGTGAACTCTTTTCTTATTATTTTCCTTTTCCCTATCACCTTCTCAACACAACCCAACAACCTCTTCTTCTTCTTCTTCCTGGGGCAGGCCCTTTTAAGCTTTCCATAAACCCTCCCTCCCCACGCATCTCTCACAACCGTACACCCGCTCCCCTCCGAACAAAACACCTTTCACCCCGCTTCGCATCACTCCCTCCCCCATCCACAAAATGGTAACAAAGGGCATTCTCAGAGCTCTCATCACACTAGCGGCCCTCACAACACTGCTGCTCGCATTCTACAATTACTCATCACCGTCGGTGCGTCTGGGCTCACCCGCCGGAGCGTCGGGAGGGAAATTCGTTCGACCAAAGACCGGTGGCTCGCTAAAGGGTATCGACCCCTTACTCAGTCCCGAGAAGGGACCTTCAGGAAAGCTATGGGGACCTGGCGAGGCGGAGAGAACATCGGCGACGTTACTGTCGCTGGTGAGGAATAATGAGCTTGCGGGGATGGTTTCTGCAATGAGGGATTTGGAAAAAACTTTCAATTACAAATTCAATTATCCATGGACTTTCTTCAACGATGAGGAATTCACTCAGGAGTTTAAGGACAAGACGCAGGCGGAGACTAAGGCTGAGTGTAGATACGGTGAGCTTTCATCTTATCTCCATAGTGTTGCTTTTGCTTCTCCCCCCCCCCCTGCAGCGGCTAACTGTGGGCTCAATTGTGTGGTGTAGAAGTTATCCCAAAAGACCATTGGGAAATTCCTTCCTGGATCAACAATGATCTTATGGCAGAGTCCGTTAAGCTATTGGAAGAGAAGAATGTTCAATATTCTGGGCTCAAGAGCTACCATCAAATGTGCCGGTGGAACTCTGGCAAATTTTATGATCACCCTGCATTGAAGGACATCCGGTGGTACTGGCGCGTTGAGCCTAAAGTACAGTATGTTGTTTCCACGTCAATTCCCCCTGACTTTAACTTGCTAAAAGACATAAAATAGTTTCTTCTGTGATGTAAACTACGATGTATTCAAGTACATGGAGGATAACAACAAAACCTACGGTTTCGTCATCAATATCTACGACTCTCCCGAATCCATTGAGACTCTATGGCCGCACAGCCTTGAGTTCTTCGCTGAGAATCCGGAATACTTGCATCCGAACAATGCCATGGCCTGGTTGACAGATGCTAAGAACCGACCAGAGCACCATCGAAAGGCTGGATACTCAACCTGTCATTTCTGGAGTAACTTTGAGATTGCGGACATGAACTTTTGGAGAAGCAAGAAGTACAGGGATTACTTTGATCATCTGGACCGTGCCGGCGGGTTCTTTTACGAGCGATGGGGTGATGCGCCGGTTCACAGTATCGCTCTGGGTTTGATGGAGGACAAGGACAAGATTCACTGGTAAGCCCATCCACTACGCAGGAACTTGGATCATTCTCTGAGAAAAGCTTAACGACCACAGGTTCCGAGATATCGGTTACCAACACATCCCATACTTTAATTGCCCCTCATCACCAAAGTGCAACGGTTGCCAGCCAGGCCGATTCACAGACGGAACAGGTCTCGACCAGGAGGACTGCAGAGCAAACTGGTTTGAGTTCGCGCACATGAACTAGGCTGTTGAATTTCTGGAAGGAAAGAAATGAGTGAGAGCAAGATTGACTTTGGGGGGGGGGGTGAATAATAATGTTGAAATATTGAAACTTTTCCATCGTCACTCCTTTGTAATTACTGACCTTTGATATTAGTTTTTTTTTTTTTTTTCTTTTTCCCTTCCTTTGTGCCCTTTGGCCAAAGGCTTGTCATAGCGATGAATTAGGTTTTCCAGAGTCTTTTTTTTTTTTTTTTTTTTTTTTTTTCCCTTTCTCTTTCTCTTTCCGGTTTTGAAACATGATAGTAAAATTTTTGTGTCTGGTGCAGAGGGGGGGAAAAGTACTTATTGTTGGGCATTAGAATTCCACATCATGTCACAGATAAGATGAGCTTTTTTTTTTTTAGATTTTTTTTAGATTTTTTTTAGAAATTATTACATTCCTCAGAATAAGTCGAGTGTCACGCGATAGACTAAACGTGCCTTAAAACTTGTGATACTAGAAGAATCGAATCTCACCCTTTCTCGTACTCGTACAGTAGATGAGACGTCCAAAATTCCCTGTCCCGGACAGAAAGGTGCAAAAACGCCGCGAAAACTTGCGGTATCATACCGCGACCCCCCCTCAGCCCCCCCAGCTTACGACTTCAACACCTACCCTAGCACGTGGTTGAATTATTCCAGTATGATACAAGTACGAGCAGGGCAAAGATACTTTAAACCTTCACACCAGCTGGATAATCACTGCGTATTCAATTAAGCCCGGGACTGGAAAGCAGAACCGCTGAAAGTGACTTAGGTTATTGTGTGTGTCAGGTATGGTGACTCGGACTTGAACAGCGTTGAAAATTTCTGCTGGTTTATGATACCGATGCGCTGATGGATTTTTGCGTGGCATTTGGCTGTGGGTGAAGGTTGATATCGTATCATACTGTAGAGTACAAGTGAGTTGGTTTGTTGATTTCGCTGTTGCTTGATATTACACGGTCGGGAGGTTTTCCCGGTCTTGTGATGCTTGCGGGTTCAGGAGAGGGAGGGTAGATTGCCGTCGGTTTGCCGTGTAACTGGATCTGGGAGGGCCCGGAGGGGCTAGTATGATATACAAATACGGCACAATAATGCATTTACTGGTAGATAAGATTACTGTTTTTTTTTGTTTTTTTTTTTTCGGCTCCAAAAAAAAACGGAATAAAACGTCATTATCCTAACCTTGTATTGCCAGGACTAAACCTTTCGGAACTTTTGATTCTGACGCAATTTTATGATGTTTCACCTCAGCCGTTTCTCATCTGAACGCATACCGATACTGTAACCTGCCTATTCCAAAAAGTATTCCTAAATCTTGGCACAATTCGGGACAAAGAAACGCCAAGATTCACGGTTGCTTTTGGAAATGGCAACCACGGTAGTCTATCCCGCTCTGCCATATCCCGCCTCTCTTCATCTGAAACGTCACCATAAAAATGGCAATTCTATCTCACACATCGTGTCCACCATCCATTCCGATCACTGTAATTTACTCCACCTTCCCACCCCAATCTACACCCCGCCAAACCAGTCATCTGGACCTTTCCCCCATCCGCCTATTCCACGTCCGGCACGTGGGTGCATACATGCATGACCCCATCGACCCGTCGACAATTGAAAAATGACAGAAAATGCAAAGCTTATGGCAAGGACGTCTGTGATGTCCTTTTCCTTTTTTCCTTTTTTTTTTGTTTTTTGTTTTATTTTTAGTATCTCTGTTTATCGAAAAAAGTAAAAAATGCGATATTATCTCACTGCGGAGAACCTCCAATCGAGGAAGCCCTATATGTTTATTTACTCTCCGGGTAAAGGTCTTCAACGAGTGCGACGCCGAGTTCCTCCCGGAGATCCTTGAGCTCGTCGAGGTATTGTTGGTATTGTTGCTTGTTTTCAACTTTGGCTTTGATGCCTGCTCGATTGTTAACACTGATGAGCCGGAGTTGGATGGGTGGATGGGGGGAGGCCTACCCTCGAAGATCCTCACGGCGGTGGGGAAATCATTGACCCTTCTGGCGGCCTTGAGCGCAGCGACGATGACGGAAGGGGATGGGACAAGATCATAGGCGAAGGCATTGTTTAGGTTGCGCTGGGAGCTCGCTGGTTATTCACTTGTGATGGTAGAGATGTCGGGTGCTACCCTGTGTGAGAGGGGGCGAATGGATGATGGTTTTGTTATACCTGAAGCTCGAAGACATCATTGACGTTCTCGAATTCCTTTTCGTACCTGGGGAGAGAATACGTTAGTCTACCTTTGTGAAGGTCATTTGTGTGGTCCATCCCTTCGTTCCTTCCATCGCCCCTCAACGCCCCCACCTCACCAAACAGCCATCCCCTCTATCCACCAGCCCGTTTTCTGATGTCAGACCACAAAGCCACCACCAAAAAAAAAAAAAACTCCACACCAAAACCGAATAGCAAAACAAACAAACGATAACCCAACCCACCACACTCATCCACCCACATAACAAGATCAATGAAGGTAGTAGATATAGCAGGAATAGAAGGGGGAAGAAAGAGTATAAACCGACCTAGCAGTAAACTCCTCAAAACTCTCCTCATGGCCCTCGCTGTAAAACCTCAGAGAAGTCTTGGCCCGAACCCTCGGCACCACCGCAACAAGCCTAGGTAGAGTAGCCGATGTCCTCAGGAGGGGCTGTCTCGCAGCCAAGCGAAGGAATGATGTGGATGTCATTTGTAAATAGGGAGGAAAAAAGAATTGAGTGGAGATTTCTTATTTATTTTATTCGATGTGTGCGATGGTGTTTTGAGGAAGGAGGAAAAGAAGGGATTAAATTGGGTTGGCCGGTAATTGGCGTAAATGGGACGTCTGGTGGGTGGGTTAGGCGGGCAAGCGATGAAGGGGAGGAAGATGAAAAGGTGGGATCGGATTCGACAACCGACGAAAACTCGAAACCTTCGTTTTCTGCTTCCTTTGAAGTTTCTTTGCCCCCGGGGAAAGGTTAATCTTGGTGTTTTGCAGTGTTGTGGAGTACAGTACGGTAGGGTTTATTGGAGACAACATTTTTTCATTATCATAATAATAATTATTATCATAATTATTATTTTTATTTTTACCGAGAATACAGGAAGATGAGACAATGAAGGTGACGGGACGTGCGCGGTTGTGACGTAGTTTCAGGAATGCCGATTTGTTCGTCTTGGTGGTTGTCAGATGGAGGCCGAGCCCTTGGGTTTCCCCCTTCGCTTTTCTGACATTATGCTTCGCCATTTCGCATCAGAGTCGAATCCTAGCGATATGGTTGGTTCAGAACCGCACTTTACCTCACATCCAGAAGGTGAGCAGGTGAATATCATACTTCACAGCGAATCCCTCAATTGGTTGTTGATCCTAGCTGGGGGGCTCTACTTGTAAGGTTCAAAGCTACCCGAGTAGTTTTAAAACCTCAATTCCTATACTCAAAATACTCGTACATTTTTGGGTTGTTTATACACGACCCACACACCCTTCAAAACCTCTACGGTATTCTTTTCCTTCTTGTGGCTGTCGCTGATTTCCTGTCGGTGCCTTTTTCTTCTTCTTTTTTCTTCTTTCTTTTTTTTCGCAGAATGGTTAGCTCGTTCGGCTTCCCCCGGTGGGGCGTGGTTGCTCTTGGTTACGGTAAAGCGGCGAATTGTGCTGTAAAGATGTTCTGTTCAGGCCCTGCTTGAGGGTGGTGATGTTTGCTTCTTGGTGTTGAAATTCCAGGTTCAGAAACGGTATCCATTCTTCACGAACAATCTTTTTCCGTTTTTGTTCCTCCTCAGAAAATTGACAATTAGACTATATTACTATCCCACTTATGCCCTGGGGGACTGATGCTTCTTCTTGCCAAATCCAACGTTTGCGGTCTGTACTGTACCAGACCCTGACCAATATGGTACAGTACCCAAACAACAGCTACATCGTATCTCGCTGAAAGGGATTGCACTTAACTTTCGCTGTCACCCAGTGCTATGAAATACCGGTGCTGATTTCTTGAAGTTACTTGCTTTGTGAGCCATAACTGCCACAAGCACTCTTTAGAGATACCGTACGAGTACAGTACTCGTACAAATAGAGACTGTGGTTTCAGGGGTTGATTGATGCAAAAGTACCGATAGGCGATCAACGGGTAAATTTTGCTGTCAAGCATAAAAACAAATTTGCTTGGCTCTAGAGGGCATTGTACGAGCAACGGTACTTGCACAGGACGGAGCATGTTTGATCCTTGCCCTACTATCCGGGGTGTCACTTTGAAAGTTTTTTTTCCCCTCAACATTCTCGTACCGGCTGCGATACCATGTGTGCCAGGCTTAACTTATGGCAGTGTGCAGTCGACCAGTTTGTAAATCCCAAGCTTGATACTCACTCGGTTCAGGACGGCCGATAAGATCGCGTCCTTCAGATGGAGCGGTTTGACCCGCTCCGGGAGAGATTTGCGGAGTCAAGTTAGTTGTCTACCTGATTCCTACTCGAGTACCGGTGCAGCACGAGTACTTGTACCAGTATTTCAAATCATGGTAATATTATTTATCATATCGATGCAGCCAATGTAGCTGTTCTGGGGCGTGATTATCACCATTCAGCTATTGGATATTGGGGCGGAAGGGACCAAATTCTGTCTTGGTCTGGGGATGGATGCTTAAACTTGGTCGCTTTCCCTTGTGTCGGGTTGCTGTTGCCTGGGGGAAAGGAGGTTGAGTATTCACATTTTTCACGTGTTTGCGTTACCCTCCCCAAGTTTCCTCCATATCCGAAGAGGTTGTTGTAAAATTATTGTCCGCTCCTAGCCAATGAGGGGCCGCATCGCTTCCTCTTTTTCTGACAATAATTTGCGAGTGAGCGGAAGTGTTCTGCATATGCAATGGAAGAACCTTGGACCAAGAGCTCGTTAAACTGTGATTGACTTACTGCGAAAGTTGTCATTCTGTCCCCATCCCTCCCACCCCTTTCCTTGTGCCGGCTTCCTGTCCTTTATTTTTGCTGACCCCCCCCCTCGTGATAACCTTTCTCCCTCTCGCTCCCTCTTTCCTTTCACTCCTTCTATCCCCATTCTCCCTTACACGCTGTCATCCACCATCCACCCCCTTCTTGAACACCACCTTCGTGTCAGCAGAAGCGTCATCGTCGTCCTTCGCACAACGCTCTTTTACGCTCCTCTTACACTCCTTTTACACTTCTCGCTGCACCCCCGAATAATACTATCATTTTGATTCACGTCTTAATGGAGGCTGCGGTTATGGATGTCCTGAGGGTCGTCGACATTCAGAAACCTAGCATTGATAGACCGTTTGGTGTGCACCTCTGGCCCGTATTTAACGCGCTGTTTGGGAAGGTTATGGGATATCCCGCTGCGGACTTCCGTTTTGTCCGCGAGGTCACCCCTATCTCGACGTTCAAGGAGAGTGCGGGTTTGATTATTGCCTACTATGCAATTATCTTTGGTGGGAAGCTTATCATGTCAAAATTTGGTGCCATGAGATTACGAACCCTTTTCCAACTCCACAATCTCTTTTTGACCACTGTATCGGGGATACTGTTGGCCTTGTTTATTGAACAGTTGACTCCCACCTTGTATAATCATGGTTTATTTTACGGAATTTGTAATGGTGATGGTGGCTGGACCCAGCCCATGGTGGTTCTATATTACGTGTGTTCCCCTGAATAACATGGCCACGCACGGCACGGCTGAGGCTTTTGCGTTTGGGGCGTGATCCCGTTTGTTGAGGCTAACCCGAATGTGCGTGTTTTAGTTGAACTACCTCACGAAATATTTCGAACTCCTCGATACCCTTTTCCTCGTTGTCAAGAAGAAGCCTTTGAGTATGCAAAATCCTCTGTTTGATCCACTTGGCTCCAGTGTAAACTAATGAGTTGTTAGCCTTCTTGCACTGCTACCACCATGGTGCTACTGCGCTTCTTTGCTACACCCAGCTCATTGGAAGCACCGCTGTTGTAAGTGCGTCCATGCCCGCTGAGGTGGGGTCGGATTGGCTCTTCAAATTCTAATATGTGACTTAGTCTTGGGTTCCCATCACGTTGAATTTGTTCGTCCATGTCGTTATGTACTGGTACTACTTCCAGGCTGCCCGCGGCGTTCAGGTCTGGTGGAAACAGTGGATCACCCGTCTTCAAATTATCCAATTCGTTATTGACCTCGGTATGCTCTCATTTACTGGGTTCCACGCGATTCACACGTGTAACTCTAACATCCCTGCTATAGGATTCGTTTACTTTGCTTCTTACACTTACTTCACCTCCACCTACTGGCCTCACATTACCAATATGGGCAAGTGCGCCGGTGAGGAATTTGCTGCCTTTGCTGGCTGTGGCATCCTTTCATCATATCTCTTCCTTTTCATTAGCTTCTACTTTTCTACCTACAGGAAGGGTGGTAAGCGTGCTGCCAAGAAGATAGTTGCTAATGGCGACATTGCTGTTGATCCCAAGTTCGCCCGGGACACCTTTGGCGGTGTTGCTAACGGCAATAGCAATGGATACACCAATGGACATGCCGCCGGTGGTGGTGCCATGAAGACCAACGGAAGCGTTAGGTCTCGAAAGGCATAAGCTGCCTCAGTAGGAGTATATACTATTTAGCAATGGGGGTGAGAGCTGTGTGTGAGTGAGGAGTTTGGTGCTGGTGAGGTAATATAGCAGTGCGCTGGAATTTACTTGGGATATATGCGTTAGGGAGTGGGGGGTTACGGAAAGAAATAATAATGGGTGGTCACGTCTTCATCTGATTACGGAATGGATTGGATTGGGGGGAAGGAATGGGTGATTGGTGGGTTGGACGCGCAAAAGAAACTACGGGGTTTACGTGCCCCATGCTTAATACAGGCGAGTATGGTCTGCTCTCTCAAACTTCTACTTCGGTCACGCTCTAGGGTTTTATATCAACTTCTTGTACATTTCCTTGTCGAGTTTTCTCCGGGAAAACTTTTCTTTCTTTTTTTCTCTGGGCTGTTTTTTTCCCCTTTTCTGTTAGCAATATTTTAGTCTCAGTTGGCCACTTAAAGGATAATTGCATAAAGATAGAAGCTCCTGATCGCTATATACATAGTCTAGATAGTCTAGCTGTCAAGATACTTATTAACATAATTACAGAGCGATACACTACAAATAATTTGCGGGAGAAACAAGGGTTCTATCATGTTATTTCAATGGTTTTTGTGATATACGATTGATTCGTTGATTAGTACCTTCCAACATTTACCCCGTCCATCCTTCCGTTCCATTTTCACCGTACCATAGACTACACTAAAACTACACCCATCTAGGAAACGAAGAAAAAAGAAGGAAGCAAGCAAGCAGACAAGAAAGTAACCGAGTAAAGCAGAAACGTAACACAGGAAAGATAAAAGAGAAAAGAATGCTATATAAACGCCATCTAACGAGAGAGAAACAAGCAAACAAGCAGACGACAAGAATAAAAAAGGAAAGAGAAAGGGCAACCACTAAGAGCCACCACTGTTGCTGTTGCTGCTGCTGCTATTGCTGCTGTCAACGGCTGGAGTGGAACTCCTGCCGACTACAACTTTCGCCTGGGCGATTTGCAGAATCGCATCACCAGAATCGGAGTACCCTTCCAACTTGGATAGGCGATCGATGAACATTTGGGCGTCTTGGATCATGCTATTCTCATATCAGCACGAGTGATAGAAGATATGTTTGGGGGGGGGGGTAGAGAGAACAAACCGTTCTTTGGCACCATCACTCCGAACCACCACGTCCCGAAACCCATCTCCAATCCTGACCCTATAATCTTCAAACACTGGCGTCATGATCCCGACTAATGTCTCCTCGGGCAGGTGTTTCGAGAGGACTTTGTGCAGGACTGTAGTCTCCTTGCAGAGTGTTTCCATGTAATACTTCGCTCCTGCTTCCTCGCTGGCCCTCGCAACGCCCCAATCCTGCGCTTTCAGGTTCAACACGTGGACCTTCACGCGCTCGGACATGATGCTAATCAGCTTCGTGTGAATTTCGGATTGGTATTGCTGGTAGGTGCGCTTCACTTTATCGAAGTCTTGTAGCGTCGGGGATTGCGGCGTTCGCCGCCGTACTGTCTCGCGCAGGTAGGGTAGCAGCGAGGTGATTATACTTATGCCTTGCGAAGCCATGGCTAGGTGCTTTGTTGTTATGGACTTCAGGCCGGCGGTTTTGGTGGCACCGGCGCCGAGGATTAATTGGTAGGTTCGGGAGTTGTGAAGCTTTTATATCCATTTTTGATTCGTTAGTGATTTTGCTTTGTGGACCCTGAGGGAGGGGGGGGGTACTTTTAGGAATGAGAGGAGGCTGTTGGCAATGTCTGTTGCCATGCCGGGAATTACTATTAGGAGCTTTAGGTAGCCTTCTAGTTCCTTTAATACCATTATTCCACTTTCTGGGAGGATAAATTTCTGGTTGTCGACTACCGCGTAGGGTTTCCCTGGTGCTGGCGCTCTGACGCCGTTGGCTTCGGCGCAGTTACCATTGGCTACTGCAGCAGCATCAACAGCAGCAACAGAAGCAGCAGGTGTGGGTGCAGTATTATCTTCCTCATCCCGCAATTCCCAAATCCGACCTGCACGCACCCAATCCTCCGGATCACGGGTTGCCGCCTCCATTATTCTGTCGACACCCTTCTGCCGTTCATCTTCGAATTCGCGCGGCGCCCATTTATCCTTCTCGAGGCATTCCGCCAGCATACGGATTCGCTCTCGCTGCCACAAATTCAGGAATTCACGAATCTGAGCGCTGACAGCGTTCTGCAGCCCACTACCGACACGAACACTTACTGCTTCGCACTCTTGCGTGAATAATCGGTTGAGGGTGAAGTATCGCAGGAACCAGTCTGTGCCATAGAGGGTAACTTGCTCGCTGCGAACATTGACAATCTTGACGATTTGGGATTGTGCTATTTCCACTGCGGAGCTGATCAGGTCTGAGATGTCCATGCTGATGGGCTCTGGGCCGCCGTTGGGGTTCTGCTCTCCGTTCGTGGCTCCGTGGAAGCCATTCTGCTCAAGCCGTGGTGAGAGCATCCCGCCAACTCCGGTTTCTCCCATGCGCATTGTTACATCTAGAAGCATTTTTTGCTGGGTGCCTAGTCGACGGACGAGTTCAGATACACCTGTGTAGATCCTCACGAGTAAGTCTTCTGAATCGGCGGGACCAAGTGAGCGCAGTGAGCGAGCGAGTAGCAAGGATTTATCCTGACTGCTAGTTCGGATACCGCCAGAGCGAGAGTTAGTCATGCCGGACATCACACTTTCGTTGTCATCACCACTAGGCATGTTTCTTCGTATTAGGTTTTTGGCTTCCTTGATAACTGCATCTCTATACGCTTGAACCGCCTCATTAACGTGCTTTGCGCGCTGCAGGCCGTTGAGGTGTCGCATAAGTTGGGATCGCAAACTATCCGAGAGCTGAGTGTATTCCGGAGGTAGGCTTGATGAACGGGGGGGTAGCTGGATATTGCCTTGCTGCTTCGCGGAAACAAATCTTTGATATTGCTCTCTTTGGAAACTTTGGGCAAAGCGTCTTAGAGTTTCAGCGGGTGGTACTCGCTCCACATGCTTTCGAAGGTCTGTGAGTAGACCTTCTACGAACCGGGCCTCGAACGCTTTGCCTATGCGCCAACGGAGGTGAACTAGATCCGCATTGACAGATTCGAGGGCTCGTACAGGGCGGAGGTCCAGTAACCCCTCTTGGCCTCTTCCAAAGATCAATCTCTCAGTTTCTGCGACGCCCGCGAGAGCAGCATCAACCTCATTGTCGGCAAGAGCCCTTTCAGCGCCTTGGAAGGTTTGTAGAACCCGCTCCGTCTGCTTGACGGCCCCTTCTAGCCTTGCTATGTTGTCTCTTCGACGTCGCAATCGAACAATCTCCAGTCCCTTTACAGCCTGCTCCTCGTCCAATCTGACCAACTCTTTCCGCAGGCTTTGGATCTTTTGAACGCTTGCTGTAGCTTCCGAATGTAACTCCCGGAGGTCGCCTAAAGCTACGAAGAAAGAGGAACTTGCTGTTGAGATGGAAGATATCAGATGAACTTCCACTGTGTCCATGTACCATGATAACTTCTCTTGTAGAATCGCATTCGTCGCCAGCGCTCTCCGTTGCGAATTGAGCGAGGACACCGAGGCTCCAGACGATGACACGGACCCTTCGGCTGAATTGGCGGGTATGGGACGAATGACATCGGATCGCTCACTGACAACATCGAACGTACGGGGGTTCTCAAGCTGGAAGTTTTCGTCAAAGTAGATGGTCGGGACCGTTGACAATGGGGTCATTGCTAAGCTTCCTTTCCTAGCCCTCCTTCTCCTAGGGGAGGTATTGGCAGATGAAGCATCCCCTCCACCTCCGGTGATCTGTAACAATCCATTCTCCCCACCAGCTGCTACCAGATCAACTACGCTCGGCGAGGGCGATACAGACTGGTGTTTCGGCTGATTCACGTTCGCTAGCCAGATGTGTTCCTCCAATCCCATGTCCTTTGCCCTCCGATACCTTTCATATTCACCGGATATTCTCAAGTAGGGGGCGAACTCGCTTGGTTTTATTTTAGGAATACTCGTTAGGGTTACCGGAGGAATTTCGCCGGGCTTCGGCCGCGACGCAGCGGACGCACGGGATTGTGGGGTCTCGAGAAGGGAAGAAATTGCTAGTTGAAAATATATAAAAACCGCAGCGCAGGGTTTGATTCCAGCTTCAGCTATCCGACGGGTTTATTTCATTGGGGAGGGAGGGGAGAGGGCTGGGGGGAAGGTCTTGGTGGGCAAACGGTAGGGCGAGTAGGAAATAGGGACGTACAGGTGCTGCTAGCGCTTCCACCACCTCCACCTGAATCTTTAGAGGCTCGCCAGTCGACAACTGTTCCCAGGGAAGAGTTCAAAGAAATAATAGAGCTTGCAGTAGAGCCTCTCCGCCCCTTCGGGGGCCTACTGGCTCGAGGAGGGTGTGGGGCAGTAAGGTCTGTTTGAGAAGCAGTTGGAGAGAGAATTGGCGAGAGAAGGACAGAGGAGTCTACAGACTGACGGCGGGAAGGGGTGGGCGAAGCCATTCTGAGGGCTATGAAGTTAGATTAAGAAGGGGAAGAGGAAGAGGAAGAGAAGAGAGCGTGGGGCAACAGATAGGGAACAAAGGAAAGATTAGAGGTAGTTGCTGTATTAGATTAGTTGTACTTTGGTTGGGGGAATTCTTTCACAGGGCTGTTGAAGGCAGGCACAGCTTTTTCGGCCTGTCAGCAGCATAGAAGAAGTGATAAGTTTATCCCTGACACACTGATCAATGCCAAGGTTGGCGTGACAATATTATGTCAGCAATGAGAGTGACACAGGCTTGGATCCAAATTGTGAGCCCCTTTTTGGTAGCTGTATCATAGTTTAAGTGAGTTTAGGTGTAGGACGCGTTGGACGCGATATTCTTTTTTTTGGTTTGTTTGGACTGCTCCATTTGCTGTGCTGCGTTAGATTACTCCCCCCTCTATTTGTTTTCCTCTCAACCAAGTTCAACTGCCCCCCCCCCACTATTTCCTATCAATCTCATTTAATACCCCACTATGGATCGTTCTTCTGTCTTCACTATCGATACTGGTCTTCCAAAAGATGACAGTCAGCCAGATGATCAGCCTGGCGAAGTCCAGCGTGCCTTCCGCTCCTTCATACTTGAGTTTCGTCTAGACAACAATTTCATCTATCGGTGGGTTTAAATCATCAAGCTTTGCATTTGAAGACGGTTCGCTGATGCGCTGAGTTTAGGGATGCCCTGCGGACGAATGTGCTCATCAAGAAATACATGCTCGATGTCGACATGGCCCACTTGATCTCCTTCAACGAAGAGCTTGCTCATAGACTTGCTAATGAACCCGCTGAGGTTATTCCAATCGTTTGTCTCGCATTGTTGCTGTTTGCCCCCTTGTATTTTGCTAATTTTTCTCAAGTTTGAAATTGCCATAAAAGAGTGTGCCAAACGCATGTTCTTTCCTGGTGCCGATTCATCTCGCGGGTTCCCAGAATGCCAATTGATCCTCCATTCAACTGCCAACATGATCTCCATCCGTGATCTCAATGCCTCGTACATTTCTAAGCTTGTCCGGATACCGGGTATAGTTGTTGGGGCCTCAACATTATCGTCGAAAGCTACCGTACTAAGCATAATGTGCCGCGATTGTAGTAATACTAAGAAAATACCTGTGGGTGGGGGGTTCCAGGGAATCTCCTTACCCCGAGTGTGCGATAGGCAACAGGTGCAAGGGGAGGAGGCTCAAAAGTGCAGCTTGGATCCGTTTTTTGTTGTCCACGAGGGGTCTACTTTTATAGACCAACAGGTATTAAAGCTCCAGGAGGCCCCGGATATGGTGCCTGTGGGTGAGCTTCCTCGGCACATCCTTGTTAGCGCAGATAGATACCTTACCAACAGGGTGGTTCCTGGATCCCGTTGCACTGTTATGGGTGTGTTCTCGATTTACCAATCTAAAGGTGGGAAGGGTCCGGCAGCGGCAGTCGCCATTCGAAACCCATATATTCGTGTTGTAGGCATTCAATCCGATGTTGATGCCAGTGCGGCTGGGAACGCATCGTTTACGGGAGAAGAGGAGCAAGAGTTCTTAGAGCTCTCTCGGAATCCCAATCTCTACGAGATGTTTGCCAACTCAATTGCCCCGTCGATTTATGGAAACGCCGATATCAAGAAAGCCATTGCGTGCTTACTGCTCGGTGGCACCAAGAAGATTCTTCCGGATGGAATGAAGCTCCGTGGCGACATTAACGTCCTATTGCTGGGAGATCCCGGTACGGCCAAGTCTCAATTGCTCAAGTTCGTTGAAAAGGTGTCTCCTATAGCAATTTACACCTCTGGAAAGGGGTCTTCGGCAGCCGGTTTAACAGCTTCCGTTCAGCGCGATAACAATACTCGCGAATTCTACTTGGAAGGAGGAGCTATGGTTCTTGCGGACGGTGGTGTAGTTTGTATCGATGAGTTCGATAAAATGCGAGACGAAGATCGGGTAGCTATCCACGAGGCTATGGAACAGCAAACCATTTCTATCGCCAAAGCAGGAATCACTACAATTCTTAATGCTCGGACCTCAGTACTAGCTGCAGCAAATCCAATCTTCGGACGATATGATGACATGAAGAGCCCTGGCGAGAACATCGATTTCCAGACAACCATTCTTTCTAGATTCGACATGATATTCATTGTCAAAGATGATCATAACCCCGAGCGAGACGCCAGGATGGCAAAGCACATCATGGGCCTGCACATGAATCAGCTCCCCCAAGGTGAGGAGGAAACGGGAGACATCAGTATAGCCAAGATGAAGCGTTATATCACATACTGCAAGACTCGATGTGCACCCCGACTTTCCCCAGAAGCAGCCGAGAAGCTATCTTCTCACTTTGTATCTATTCGAAAGCGGGTCCACCAAGCAGAAGTAGATGCAAACGAACGCTCCAGCATTCCCATCACAGTCAGGCAATTAGAAGCTATCATTCGTATCACCGAATCGCTTGCAAAGCTTAGCTTGTCGCCCATCGCCACAGAAGACCACGTTGATGAGGCGATTCGTCTGTTCCTTGCGTCTACCATGGATGCAGTCGGACAGGGCGCTGCAACTAGCAGTGAGTTGATGGAGGAGATTAATAAGGTTGAAGCAGAGTTGAGGAGGCGTTTGCCAATTGGCTGGAGTACAAGTCTCGCCACTCTCAAACGGGAGCTGTGCGTTAATAAAGGCTACTCAGAGGCAGCGTTGAGCAGAGCGTTGGTGATCATGAGTCGGAGGGAGACTATACAGTTTAGGAGCGGTGGTGGAAGTGTGTTCAGAAGTGGTGTCTAGTCTTCCGCTTACGATTTGTGTTTGCTACGATGGGAGGAGTGATACCATGATTGCTTATGGGATTTGGGAACGCCGGGTTGGAGGCGAGTGACGCAGGGTGATGCGTACCTGTATTTGATGATTACGGTTAAAATTAAACCCATCTACACTGTAGTGGAATACATTGTATTCTTTCCCTGTCATATAACCTGCCTGGTAATAAAACACCTTCTAATGCGTTCGCCAATGTTGCAATATGCCAAACCCCTTCAAAAACAACTTAGGCTTCCGCAGCAGAGTTCGTCAAACTCAAGTAGGCGCCCCAGAGGATCCCCCAACTGGAGGCAAACGGCAATTGAAATCTCAAAGGAATAAGCCTGAAGTTGACCATCTGCACCGCCGGCCAGAGAATATAATTCGATCTCCTATCCACAAAATAACGCATTAGCCCAACCAACCGCACCACAACCGTCCCCATACGGGAAGGTTCGTCGAAAAAGCCAAAGAACCCACAAAGTTCCGAAATAAACCTCCCCAAACTTCCTCCTGACATCCTCCCACCCACCCCCGCCACTAACCGTCATCCAGGCGAAGAACCCCGCAAGCCCAACTGGGGCGAAGACCGCCTGATCCAGTCCCACCCTCTTCACGAGGAGAACGCCCACACCCCCTCTTCCTCCACCCCCCTCTTCACGGGAGATTGGATACTTCCGAGCGAGGAAGCGCAGCCACTTGAACTGGAAAGGCGCGATGATGCAGCCCCAGCTGGCGAAACAGATGAGGCGGTTCCAGTCGAACTGTGGGGGTCGTGATGACCTTTCGGGTGGTGGGGTTAAACTTTGGGCTGTTGTGTCGGCTATCGCGAACAGGAGAGTGTTTGTCGCTGTCATTGTTAGGAGCGGGCGCGCGGTGAAGCTTGCATTGTAGTGGTGAAGGAGGGTTGGAAAAATTTGTGACATTATTTTTTAGAGGGGGGGGTCGGACGAGTGATAGTGAGTGTTGTGTTTGATATTATAAACGGGGATTGGGGGGGTATTTAGAGGGGGTGGGAGGAGGAGGAGGAAGTGATGGGATATTATGGATATTAGATGGAGTATCGTACAGTAAAACTCCTGGTATTAGCTCTGCAGGTTCATCGGGAAACTGTGAGTAGGTATGGTAGCTCTCCACACGATTGGCCGATGTTCCGATTCCCGCCTGAACGGTGGACTCTCCGTCCGTGACGGCGGTTATGAATCGCGTACTTACCGGTAATAATATCAGTTCCTAATTGTTTAACATGACTACCAGTACGAGTACTCGAGTACATATAAGACCCGTTGACGTCATTAAACATTGCGGTTCTTTCCTGATTTCCATCTTTGGGGGACCGTAAGTTGAGCTGTATCTAATCTAATCTGATAAGATCAGACCCATCTGGGGTCAGGAATTTCTTGGTGTCTCGGCAGGGTAACACTCAAACTTCGCGCGGCCAGGCCAAGAGACACATCCATCTCTTCCGTGCAATTGTAAACTTAGATTTGGGACTTGAGCAACACAACCTACCCATCCATCCATCCATAACACAAAATAACGAAACCCCCACAAACAGGAAAAAAAAACTCACCACATTACCGCAACAATGAAGCTAGTTCGGTACGTCCGTTTTTCCAGTTGCCATCAATCCAATTTCGAGGGAAAGGACTAACGAACCCTAGCTTCCTAATGAAATGTCAAAACGAAACTGTAACGGTCGAGCTCAAAAACGGCATTTACCCCTCCTCCCCCCCCCTCCCCCCCCCTCCCCCCCCCTCCCCCTCCTTCCTTAAGAAATTGGAAATAAGTAACCGCGGCGGAACCACGGCGGGGTGAGCGGAACCATGCAAGAAAAAGAAAA